AGCTTAAGGTCGCGACGTAAGCGGCATGTCGCGTTATCAAACGGTGTCAGAATCTGGTTTCGAAAGCGTCCATCGAGTCGTATTCGGTTGAGCCGATCGCGATAATTGTCATTAAATCGGACGCGTGCTCGGCAAGCAGACAGAAGCGTATTCCTCGAACGATGGAGCATTAGAAAGTCGAGTCGCTCGAGCGTGAGTTAGTGCCTCGGCTCGATAGATTACGGTTAACGGAGAGAATTTCGTAAGAAACAACGAGAAAGGGATTCTTGAGGCCTCGAACACGAGCCTTCTCCTCGCGCTCGTATCTCTTTCTGCTCGTTTCTTCCTTTTCCTTTTTTCGATCTTCGGAACCCTCAGAATGTTGCGTTCGTGCAAGTTTTTACGACGAGTAAGAAACACGGTGCTTTAACCGTCGAATATAATGGCAGTGCATCGATGTCAAGGACGGCGCTCAAAGAACAAGAGGCTCCGCTTCGTAATTAACAGATTGTCGGGACAGGTAATCGAGGGAGGCGGCCGCTTTTAAAGGACCGGTTTATTGTTCGCGACCTAACCGTTTCGCAACCACGATAACTTGTATCGAACGGTTAAATTAATTATTATTGCTCGTTGTTCCCAGTCGGAAACGTCGTATTTTTCGGCGAAAAAAGATCGCGACGCAGCGCGTGGCAATTCCAGTCGTTGCAATTTTATTTATAGTAGTTCGAAGTATCGCAATTTCGCTCGTTACATTTGTACGTGCTACAGGTGTACGTGCCTCGATTCCACGGAATTGTCGTTGCAATTCCGTGCGTCGATTCTACGCGTTGCAATCCCATTTCTAGCAATTCCATGCGTAACAGATCCACACTTGGCGACACGAAGCGTGATATAACACTTGATCGCACAACGCGCGTGTCGATACTACAGATAATGTAGTATAATTTATTAGTTATGATGGCGTGGAAAACTTTTTTGTTTTAAAATGAATAAAGCATCGAACGATATTTTTGTTTGTAACTTGGTGAATAATTCCATTAATCAACTGTAAGATCGCACTTGGAACCGTGTTTCCCACCAGTATATTACCATTCATCTCGAACCCGGCAGGAAATCGTTCCCGATCACGCTTCGTTGACGAGTAATTATAATTTATCGAATACATTATCGCGAAGCGAGAAATTAGAGTTCCGAGCAAGTAATTACTTAATAGTGGATAGATAAATCGCGAATAGAAGTAGCCTTTCTTTATTTGCTATGCCATAAAAGCTTAGAATACTTGTCCACAGCAGTGTATATCAAGCTCCGTTATCCGTTGATTTATCAACTCGGCTAAAAGCGAGCCATCGAAATAGAAATACGCCCGTAACGTTAACAGTACTTAACAAGAGTGTTTGTACAAAGTGACAGCGGCTGTAAATATCGGTTGCAGTCGTTTATAGCGGCGGAGCGATTAAAGTATCGAGAAGTTTCGTTATAAATTGTCTTGTCCAGCAACGACAACGAAGGACGAATATGCGCCGCGTTCTGGTATTCGTCGCGCGGATTAAAGTCGGCGCTGGAATTCCAATGCGATCCGTTATACAATCGATGCGCCAGCCTTATCGATCTGTAACACCATCCACGGTAAACGATTCACCGGGCCGATTGCCAATCGATTGTCATATTAGGAGATTCATTTCCGGCGAGTGTCCTTTCGTTTCCTTTTGACCCTGTGTCTCGCTAACCGATCGTGGCCTTCTCGTTAATCGTTCGATTAACACGTTCCGATCGGGGTCGCTGCCACTCGCCAATGAATTTCGTCGAATTAATTATAGGTAAGAAGCTCCCGAAGTATCGACGAGGGAAATCGCGAGGAAGAGCGATGAGATCGCTATAAAGAAAATAGCAGGCTAGTAAATCTCGGCGAAAATGACCGTTCAGCGTTCGCGTCGTAAATTCAGGCGAGTCGGTGTTGTCTTAGTCTGTATTTCAAGCGAGCTGACGAGTAACGAGGATTAAAGAGATAGGATTGATCTGAAAATTTCGCGCGATCCGGTTCGACTCTCGGAGGAAGAGGAAAATTTCGTCACGAACTGGTATCCCTCGACCGTGGAAATTGGTTTCCTGGTTAGATACTGCTCCACCTTGAAGAGTCACGGATGCGGAAGGTGAAGGATAGTTGCTCGGGAATGAACTCGTTGGATACCTAATTCCTTCGTCCGGTTTAAGCAGTCTCTGGAGAAGATGTCTCTTCGCTAACCGTGTCTCCGAATGTATTATTTGCGAGCTCCTTTGTCCAACGAGGATCTCCGTTAACGTCCCTGAAAGTCCTTGCGAAGGGAACTCGACCGGCGATATAAACCGTGACAATATATCGTAAATCTTCCGTGTAACGTAAAGATAATCGTATAGGAAACAGATCGAGCGGAGTTGACGTACCCTCTGGGAGATACGCTCCCACCGTTCGAATATTCGAATCGAAGAGAAAAGAGAACAAGAAAACGAGAATGTATCCCAGAACGAATTCCGATCTCGTATTCGCGGCGCATTTCACGCTCGAAAGCGAGAGACGACTTCCGCTTCGAAAAGCGGCCTCAAACGGGGACACTGACCTTCTGTCGATCGACGGATCGATACACCACGAGCTGAATCTAGGAAGAGGCCTTGAACGACCACGAGAACGTTCTTTTACCGGCAAGGACAGTTAATTAATCTAAGGTAATAAAGGATCCAGAGGTGCATAGACGAGATCTAACTCGATCGTGGCCCGAAATTATTATTCCGTCTCGATTCGATCCGTCGGTGTCTCCTACGTTAAGTTTATTATGCGGGTAATGTATTCAAACAGCGAGCACTTTGTACGTGTACGGTGTTTTTCGCGTGGTACCAGCAGGGTGAACGAACCTCTCGAATATAGAGACCGCTTCTTGCCGACAAAACGCTACACTGTTAGATCGCTTAAATAGTTCGAGCCACGTTTACTGCAATTTAGAAGCGGTCGAGCTCGATTATAGTTGCGCTAGGTTGGTTATGTCAACCACTCGGTTTAAGAAACTCGCGGATTCGATATACGCGTCTGACAGTTCTACGCATCGTGAGTGATAATTTCGCGCGCGATAACTGCATCTCTGACGGATCGATGCGTGATCCAGTTACGCGTGTTTCGTGTGTCGCAATTGCTCCTTTGAGAATTTCAGTCGCTCTGTCTTTCGTCTTATCGATATTATTCAAGATACAACTTAGCAAATAATTCTGATATCTGTTTCCATAGAGGCGTTTAAAATACATGTTAAACCGGTTGAACAAACTCGTCGCGATAATTCTTGGCCGATTCATCGAGTATTCCCCAGGTTGGATTCCTAGAAGACAGCGATCGATAGCGACGTCTGGACGTCGACGCGCGTATTGTTCTCTAGGGAATATTTTTGCGAAAGACCGCGCCGGCTGGGAAGACCAGCGATGCGGCAGGTGTCGGTAGCAGGAAATTTCGAAACGGTGCACATACACCTAAGAATCGCCTTTCTCCCTTCCGATGGCAGTCAGCTTTTACGATTCCGCCTTATACGTCGCTCGGGAAAACCCGTTTGCAACGGACTAACGCCGCCTTATCAGCTCCATGCATCTACGAAATTGCAGCGCGATAAACGCGTCGCTCTCCGTCCCTTGATTGCGAATTAACGACCACCGGACGTTTGATTTCTTTTTAAACGCTGGACATCTGGGTCAAGATTACGAGCTTTCGGAAATTGGAGCATCCTAGGGAAAAAACTGAAATAATTCGTTCCTCGCGTGAAGCACGCACGCCAGTTGAAATCTGGCTTCCTTACGAAGCTTTACAAATTTAGAATTAGATTTGGGATTATAGAGATTCAGAGATGTAGGTGGTACGTGTAGAGTAACGGAGCAGAAGATCGAAGAAAATTTTCGATCAGATTGGTCCAGATTTATCGCGTCAATTTATGTTTGAACGGCACGATGCAAGTGCAGGCGACAGTCAGAAATACGCGTGGTCGTCGGGTAGCTCGAAAATAGAAGTAAACGTCCGAATGCAGATTCGCGGTAACGAGTGAACTCGTCAGGCTAGCTTGCTAATCGAATTAAAGCGTCGCCGGCAATTAGCGCCGGCTCGAAAGCCTGGCTGCGCGGATGCATCGTTTCAAATCGACCGAATCCAATTCGCGTTGGACCCGGCGCGGATCTGTCTCGATACCGAACCCGGTTTCTCTCCATTTTTCTCCGACGTCTCTTTCGAAACTCTCTTTGTTAATCCGTTACACCACACTCTCGTTCTTCGTTTAGTTACGAAACAAAGTCTCAAAATCTCGAACAATTACAAAGCCTGACAAGAAGTTTCAAATTCAAACTCTCAAAGCCTAAAGTTTTCGGACTTCCTCTCAAATAGTGGCTATATTGAACTACTTTGAAGGAGCTGCATTTATCGATCAGACGTCTGACAATTTATGACCGTCCATAATAAGAAAAATGGAATACACATGCGACTGTGTCTCGTCACAAGCACGTGACAATGATTGCAGCTACCTCTTAGCGACCATAAATATTTATAGCTGCACCGTGCATCATGCATGAAAGGACTACAATATCATTCCCGATGCTTAACATCGTTGATATCAGAAATGCAGCGGCCGATTATTACAAATTGCTGATCAATTTTTTAATTATAAAGTATCATTAGAAAGCTGTATTAAACTAGCTACAAACTACAGGAAAATATCTGTTAGATTTAACTGCACGAGCATCCGTGTAATGATGTTTTTTCTTGCATTTTTTTTTTTAATATAGCTCGCTTGCGTTTCGATTTATCAAGCTTTTTATTGAACATTTATTTTATTTTCTGCGATGTAACATGAACGTGAACATTAACAGTATCGATCGATATAGTTTCATTGGATGATTTCGAATATAGTTTCGGTCGTTCATGTTACACCGATGTTTGATATTTTAAGTTTGTTTTAAGCATCCTCGCACGTAGTTGCATGCGTTCTCACTGCTGTTGTTTTGGATTGTTTGTTGCACATTAGGTCCAGACGAATGTCCCAGGATATCACGCATTCGAGATCCACCGAAAACCTCACAGCATCTTATTACAGGTACGTATGTCTAAAAGCTTCTACGAATGGCCGAACGAATACACCGATAAATCCAACGAAAATTTCAACGATTCTTAGGTTTATGTGAATGGATCGAGTGCAGATACTGGATACTTGAAAATTTGAATATACGAGGATTTAAGTATTTGAGATGTAGAATCTTGAAATTAGAAGAGTATCCATCTGTGCTCGCGACTGCCCGCGACTTGCCCATGCGGCGGAACATAATAAAATCACGCGAGAGGTGTTTAACTGTCGGTAATATAGCATAAAGACAAAAAGTGGTTGTCAACCGGAGGGATTTACCTGTTGCAACATCGCGTCGTGTAATTTGTTCGCGCCTCGTGCTCCGTCACTCGTGAAATTTACTTTTTCCGCGCTCCGCGATTTCATTCATGATTCAAGCTCTATCGTCGCTTGCCGCTATCTTCGCCGGCCATTCGTGTCCTCGTTGATTCGTCTTGTAGAGTTCATTTAATACAACGACTCGTGGCATGGTTCGTTGCATCGTGAAATTGCATTGTGTCGCGCCTCGCCGGTCTCTCGCTTTTGCAACCTGAGAATAATACGCGTTAGTAATTCCCACCGTTTAACGCTTTATACAGGCTCTCCTCGCAAAAAGCCTACAGCGCCAACCTTGCCATATGCTCTCGATCAACTTCTCCAGCTCCCAAATTCCTTAACTTTTCAATTCTCAAATCCTCGAAATCTTTCGAAATTTCCGTATCTGAAAATTGTCGGTTACATCTGAAAAAAAATTGCATAGCAGCGAAGAACAATCCGAATCGTCTTCGAGACAAATCGGGCAATTTCGTGAATTTTTTTTCGGGACACCCTGTATACGGCGAGCGTTAAAAATGGAAAGTGAACGGAGAGAAAGCGTGGAGGCTTATCAATGAAATTCTTAATTGGAAACTTTTTCTTTCGCAGGAGCAAAAGCCGCAGCGTGGATCATGGATTCACGACGCCTTTCGATCTGGATTCTTTGAGGAACAAGGTCGAAGGACGATTCGAGTCGGTCGACAAACTTTCCAAGGGTAAGTCACTGTTTTTTTTTCTTTCGTAATCATACAGGATATCCGTTTTCTTGTTGACCGAAAGAAATAAACTAGATCGAGAGTGAAACGAGATATTCATTTTGGTTCGAGTCGTCGTAGCCGATGGAGTTGGAAGTATTTTTCTTCTATTTGTCTAGAAATTTGGACATTCAGTTAATAGAATTGTCGTAATTTTTAGTTCCAAGAACGTCTTATCATAGTCGACAGTTAGGAGAATTTCTTAACCGTTCCACGATTAGTGAATTAAGGAAATACGGGTCAATTGTAGATCTCCGTTCATATTTTGATAAAGAACAAGTTTATCGAAGAAAAGATTATACTTCGCCATTTAAAATCCACTCTCGGAGTCTAAACAGATAGCATCGTTCGATTAACCGGAATCATAATCGTCGTTTCCCTTCGTTGAATTTCAATCGTGTCTTCTATTTTTATCTCCGCGCAAATCTTCGGATATAGTTTTATCTCCGGAGGGGAAGCAATTTTCAACGCGAAAGAAGAAAGTGATGTACGATGCTTCGATAACGAACGTTCGATTTTTTGCGAAACTAAACTCGTAGCGGAAGTGCTCGATCGATCGAAACGCGCGGATCGCGAACGATTCATGATCGGTCGTCGACGAAGGTCTCGATCTTCGGTGGCGAACGTCGTCGCGCGTATGCAACCTTACCAGCGCGAATTACATTGACTTACTTTCTTAAAGTGGCACGAATGCCAGGTTTGATCGATCGCTTCGCGCGTTCCCTTAATTGACATTCTCCCAGCGAAAAGATTTATCCGCGTGCTACCAGGCCATCTCTTGTCGTCGCTCGCGATACAAATCACTGAGATTATAATCGATACTTTTAACGGAATCCACCGTTCCTCGAAATCGTAATCTCGCCGGATTTTCAACACATCTACACGATATAAGCGAAAAGGCAGTTTTATCGACGCAGATCCGACACGTGAACATCCTTCACATTTTTCTCGTTAAAACAACGCCAGAAGAGCGAAATAAATGAAACTCGATTAACGCTTGTCCAAAGAGAACATACATCGCGATTAAAAATCGACGACAATACGCGAGAGGTTTAAAAAGGTAAACCGTAATTTGGGTATTTCGGTGAACAATCTCGATCGTGGCAGCTAACGGCATTGCAGGAGGTAATTAGATAAATTTCCAGCAGCGACCAGCCAGGGAATTCGAACGACTCTGTCATTTGGCAAATCCTCGACGCCCATTAAAGGCACACACGTGCACACGGCTCGAGTGTTATGAATGCTCGTCGTGTGTACCTGCTGCGCTGTATCTGGCCTGACATGGATTCTGTGTTTAATAAAGTGCTCGCAGAGACTGTCGGGACAGGCAGGATTTAAATTTTCGAGGTAATCTCCGCTCGTGCAAACGATACTCCCGCTGCCGTTTCATCCTCGCTACCTGTATCTCTGCCATCCGTGCAACTCCACGGAAATTAACGTCGATATCGTGTCCGTTTAATGAAACGGTAACGAGAACTTAATCGCGGACGCTTACGTTTCTGATTTTCATTTCGACGCGTAACCGTTTCTTTCTTACCGATCGTTCGTAACGTTTTACCGACGAGGATTACACGTTCAGATCAAGATTCCTCTATAGATAAATTTATGCAATGTATGTTGGTATGACTAGAATTTTAGGAAAATAGGGACAAGGTGGTAGATTCAGAGAATCTTAAATTTCAAGAAGTTCAAACATTTTCAAATTAACTCCAACTTTGACAGAGCACTTCCCATTTCGGTACCTTGTATCTCATCGTTGGCAATCTAGCGAGACCTGCAGATCCAATGAAGTCATCCAGCAGCGAAGCGAAATAGATCGCTTTTGTTATTCTCGATTGCTTCCCCGAACCGAAGACTGCTGATTCGGTGTTTGATAGATCGACTTATTATCGTCACCTAATACGATATTTTCGAACACGTGGGGAGTCGATAAAGCCGCTTCGATCGAACCGGTATCGATTCTAAGAGTTTAGCTATACCAAGAATTCGATGCCATTTTGACTAAACAAAATAAATTGGAAACAGAGTCTTCATTTACCAGCCAGCTGAAATCAAACTTTGATGATTTTAATAAAATAGATTCTTGCTCAACGTTATCCAATTTTGTGAAATGTTTATTAACATTCTACAGTTTGTTTTATGAAAAATTGTGACATCGCTAGGTGCAATTAATTTATAGCATGTGTTTATATATGCGTAGAAAAATCACTCGATCAGCCGTAACGTTTGATCCAGCAACAAAATGTGTTATTGGATACCGCCAGACGATGCATTTACATATTATCAACGGGTTGATTCGTAGAACTCCGAGGTCTATAGGTGGCAATGAAAAAAAAACCAAAAGAGAATCGAACGAGACGGGCAGAAAAGTTAAATAATCGCGCCAACGCAACGGTGACGCGATTGCAACATGGCTGTGATAGTCGATCATAGCCGTGTGACTGAGCAGGAACGTAGTCCGTGTTGTCGTCGCGGCTCGTCAGTTAGACATCGCTCGTTCGCGACGCAATTTTTTCACGCGATCGCCTCGAAATCTCGCCGATATCTATCGAACGATCTAAAGTCTGAAAAGTGTCGCGACAATAAGACGAGTGCAAGACAGGACTCGGATAAAAGCGTTTGTGTAACCGTACGCGGTTCGTTATAATGACTTAAACCGTGTTACCTTGAGATTAGAAACCGGTCGGACGAAACCACGGAAAAACACCGTTGAATCATTTGTTTAACCGACTTCCATCGCTCGCTACCGGCAAACGATCGACCACGTGGACACGTCGAGAGAAAGTGAAACGTCTCGAGCACCCACGAGTGGGCTTTCGTTCCTTCTTTTCGTCGTTATTCTAGACTCTTGTGTTTGTTTATTCCGAGAGGTTATGATTCATCGAATACTGTCGGTGTTAATGCGAGTGATAGGAAAATTTGGTGGCATAGAGGTGCGTTGCGAATAGCGATGGGTATTTCTGACTTGTTCACATTTTTCGGCTGGCGCACCCATGTCTACATTTCTGAAATTTTTCAACTCTGAGACACTGAAAGTTTTTGATTATACATATAATTTTTAAAATTGTTCAGTTCAGCAATATTCAAGAATTTGGAGACTTGCAATCGATTTTTAAATATATATTCACATTTTTGTAGATATTGAAAATACTGAAGTATATAAATAAATTATAGATTGTCGTTATCGTGCTATTTAAAGTAATCGCAGAAAAAGTCAGATCCATTATCTCGGTATGAACAAGTTAATCCTATTAAGGTGCGTTAATCGTTATCGCCAGTTTGCACACGAGTCGATAAAATAATTTCCATCTATAAGACTCGATAAGTACAAAAAACTTGACCGGAAAACGTAATCAATATTATGAGATTGTTTAAATATAATTGGTTTAGCGACGATTTTTCTGCGCAAAATAATTTTGTAACCGAAGCAACGAGATAGAGTATAGTCAAGTCAGCTTTAGGTGTTCGTTAGCAAGGTAGATTAGTCTTACTGCTAGGTTGACGGTTAATTAACACGCTTTGATTACCTCGATGAAAACAAAACCTGTGCATAACATGATAGTGTTACTAAATCATTTATGTACGATGATGAACAGGAAGAGTAAAGATACAATAGCGAAACGATATGTAATTAATACAAAATTAAGTGGAACGATGATATAAATGTTTCGGAGTCAACTTTCGTTCGTTCACTTTGCTCGTTTGTGTTTTTAAATTTGTATAATTTTAGATATTTCTACGTCTACACTATTTCTAGCTTAATTTCCAAAATTTCCCTGGAATTCAATACGATTCGATAATCCGAGCTTTCTTTTCTGCTTATTTTTGTATTCGCTGGCTATCGTAATTAGCTACAGCTAATTAGAATATCGAACATCGTGCCGCAGAGTGCAAATAATTTCCGTTCCGCAGAGATGGCTATTATACAATAACCTTAGTCCGGCGAGAAAAACGCAAACATCGAACAAAATGATCGAATAATAGTATCTATTCTTGTACGCTCTTCCTATTCGTCGCTCGCACCTATTGTCGTCCCATCATCTTATAGCATTTTAATTACCTCGCGGTCTGTTGACTCGATTATTATCGTCGACATCCGAAACTGCATTAGCATATTAAACGTCATATTCAAACGGTCGATGTCATCTAACGTTTCGATGTTCTCTGAATTTCTTACATTTACTTCCTGCTTTTTTAACTACACGATCCTTTCTTTGTCATCGAATTTTTTAACTTTCTAGCTCTGACATTAGTTTGATCCCTGTTGCACTTCGTTATCCGACGACATCAGGGGGACCCTCCCACCTAATTGGAGCAACAAAATTTTCTACTAATACCCTTACATAATTCAACTAAAATAAAACGGTGCAATTATATGTTTCATTGCGCAAGGTCATTCGTGTCGATTCTACGTCTCCTTTTCGATTAATGGCGCCCTCTTTTTATATGGGTCAACGAAGTACCATCAATCAAGTTGCGGTAATTGACTTGGCTGTCGTCGTTCGCGTTTCTCCCTTTGTCTTCTCGCATTTTCTTGCGAGGACCCTGTTTCCCCGCAGCTAACACTATTCCAGCCGCAAGTTTAATTAAAAAAAAAGTCACGAAGGTTCTTGAAAGTTTACCTCGTCCCACCACCGAACTATTGTTTACAGAAAATGAACGGTTTATCGATTTCGTTGAAACTTTGAGATACACGCGCTATTTCTCGTGAACGAAGATACAGTGAGACGGTGTCGCGAACAAAGTTAACGAACTTGACGAACATTGTTTATTCAACGTTCGCTCGAGAGCAAGTAGATGAAAATCGATCGTACGAGCATGTCAACGTCGTCGTGGGAGTTCGTCGACTACGAACCGAACAATATTCGCATCTTCGAGAAGACGTATCTGGACTATGTGGTGTACTACACGGTCAACGGAGAACATTTGTCTTGCTCGGTTCACAAACCCTTTCGACACAGTTCCTCTTCGAGCACAGGTATACCCGCATCTTCTACAGCTCTTTTCGAAATAATCGGTTCGTCGATAATTGACGTTAAACGAGTTCGCTTCGAGATAAAAATATTACAAGTAGAGCTAATCTACGATTTTGATACGAGAGACGATCAGTGTCAGTTCGTCGAATTACGTACTCAACGACCTATTTCATCGAACATTGGACGAGTCGTTAAATATAGTCGTGATACCGCCTCGATATTTCTGCCATGCTAGTCAACCGATTGTCCAGATCTGTAAACGGAATGATGAGTACCTGACGACAGACACAGAACGAGGGTATGAAATGAAACTGTAATGAACAAGTGTCTCACGAAGGTTTAATATGGATAGTTGCGAAGTAGGTCTGGGACGTTTGATTACATCTGGGATGCTCGAATGCTATGAATAAAATTTGAATATTTTCATGTGCTAGCATTGTTACCGAATATCTTTTCGACGTTTCTTACGCAAAGTTTTTCTACCTCGTCAACGGTATAGATGCATGATCTCATTGACCTATTTATGTGGCATAATTGTTCGGAATTCTTATATAATTCTCCTTCCTTACATCTCGCGTTATTGTTTCGCGAAATTACGTTAGACTCCGTTAAAGTGCAATTGATAACGTCAAGCGTACTACAGATAAACCGGTATCAGCAGATAACAGGTATGCGTTTCTCTGAAATCCAAATAACTATCGCGGAAAACTAGTAGCGTTTTCACTCGTCGTTCAACGGATGATTGTCCTTTTAACGACGAAGCCTAACGGAAACGCCGTGTACCGTGATTAATTTAATTGCAAGCTACGTTTAAGTCTGCATTCTTGCCAGACAACTTGAGCTATTCACGTTTGCTCGTCGAGTCGCTTCGAGTACGGTGTAAATTTCTCTGGAATTTCTATGGACGAAAATCTTTGGTTCCGTTTCATTTACTTAACCAAACGACGAAACAGTTTATGCGAAGTTTCAAGCAAACTGTTCACAAACGATTGTGATACTCGGGAACATTTTCAAGTTGGTGAACCGAATTCGAGAATTTGGGAATTTAGAAGTGTCCAGTTTAAAAATAACTTCGAATGAAACATCGTGTTAATAGCGTGGGTAAATATCGTTGAGTAAATTTGGTCGAATTTCTTTCACAACGTCCGATTCACCCAGTAATTCTTAACGGAGGGAACAAATTAACACTCGTTGCTTTCATCTTTATTCGAGATATTAACACGTTCCCTTTGTTTACTTAAACTCCGGCTTTAAGGAATTTCGTGGGTGTTAATTGTTTCGCTTAAAATTTGTGATTCACTAAAAAAAACTCGTCACGACCAGATAACGAAAACAATCATCGTGATGAGCAGTTTGACGAGTTTTAAAATAGATCTCGTGCGTTTCACAGCGTGTTTCCTTGAATAAACGAATTTCTGGACACGTGTCCGAATCGTAGTACTCGATAAATTGACAGCGATTAAAGTATTTGCCTCTCGTGTTTGTCGAGTGCAGCGATGGCTGCTCTCTTATCGTCACGTGCGTTCTATTTACTCGTTGTCTCCGGTTGATTTCGTATTGGAATTAGAAAATTAACTCGAATCTTCTAGTTTCGTTGTATTGTCTTCGAACAGTAGGTTTGAACTCGTGCAATCGAATATAGTTTTGGTGATTTCAATGCCCGCAAAACGATGTTCCAACTCTCGATAAAATTTAATATCGTTTTCTGGTTGAAATAATTAATGAAATTTGTAGAAGTAGAAAGTTGTTAATCGCTGAACGTTATAAATTATTTTCAGATTCAGACAGCGACAGCAAAGATGGCTCAACGACGCATGAGAAGAAGCACGGACGTGTTTCACAGCCCATTAACACGATCGCCTACACGGTGAGTAACGTTTCAATGCGTATCGAATAATAAGATGCACTCTCGAGCGTGAAAAAGCCTCGCTGAACGAGCCAGCAATGGAGCTTTTGCACGGATGATCGAGAGCCATGAAAAACGATTGGAAGTCAAGGAGAGACGAGAGCGTAACCTCTGCTCGAACGCGTAAATACATATCTCTCGTGAATTAAATCGTTCCCGACCGATTCGTCTCTAGAATACCGCTGCATTTTCGACGCATTTTGTTATTCGTGCTCGTTCGAATATCTAGTGAATAATCGATGCATTCGAAATAAATGGACAATCTTGTTCGCGATAACCTTTTCAATTCACTTTATTCGTACGGATTCTAATTTTCGTCCTAAATCCCTGAATCTCTACTTTTTGTAATATAATTTGTCGGTAGAAACGCGAATGATTTCGGCTGAATTTAATCGAGACATACTCGTGCACACCTATTCGTAAATCTGGGTCGCCATTGACCCAGTTGCGCGACCGAAGGGTAAAGTAGTAGAAGAGAAAAGAAGCGGAGTAACGCCGTTCATGAATAGAGATTTTCAAAATTGTTGAAAATTGCGTCGAATTTCGTTAGAAGACGAGGCTCCGGCGTTTTACTAGAAATATCTCGTGTAGCTACTTAGTATGCAGCTGGAATTCCTGGGGAACGGAAAGGTGGGACGGGATGGAAAACGCGTCGTTTGAATTCCGGAGCAGCGGAAGCTCAAAAACCCGGTACACCTTGTATCCTGCGATAGCGTGCCCGCTCGATCGATAAGGGAAATCGAATAATACCGATTCGAATTCTGTCGCGAGATTTCCGTCCTCGTATCTCCCGTTACGAAAATTATGCGCCGAGCGAACGTCTGAATGGCGATGGAAAGATTCCATCGAATCGCTAAAAAATTCCCGAACAAACTTTATATAAATGTTTCAAAATTATTTACACTGGGACATTCGCTTAATCGTTACGGTAGCGTCATCTGTGCGACGGTCGCCAACCGTTAGTTAGACACGTATACGGTTAACACCAAAGTATCGGTTATTGATAATAATTCAACGGTGGTGTCATTTAGTACGTCAGCTGTAAACGGTCATTCACGCCGCGTTGATGCTTCATTAATTGGTTGTAATAGCGGCTCTTTTGGGAAATAAGTTTATTAGATTTTTATTGTATTCGACAACGGTGCTGAATGGTCCCGTTAGACGTTTTCCAAACTTTTATAGGCCGAGGCTTTTGAAAACGGTAATTCCTTCTGACGCATTTGCTCGCGATCATTCTGTGAAGTCCCAAAGTTCTAAATTCTTAACTTTCTGAAATAACAAAGTCCTAAACTTGAAAAGTACCGAAATCCCAAAGTCCGAAAGACGATATCGAAGTCGCTCCTCGCGTTAGATCGCGACGTCTGAATATTTCGAAAATTCTCGCGAACCGTCCGATTGCTAAACGGTCGTTTAGACTCATTCAGCGCGATGTTACTTTTCAAACAAATATTTATAAACGTTTCGCAAGCGAGTTTCGTTGAACTGGCCTCGCTTTATGAAACGTAACTCGCTCACGATGTAAGTGGACGCACGCACGCTAAATTACTCGCGGTGTATGTTTGGTCTCGGTCGTGCGTTGCATAATGGCGCGCTTATGCTTTCTTGAGCCTGCATATGGATGCCTTTCGCAAATGGACGCTCACTTTCTCGACGTCCACGTGCATGCACACACGTCGCGCGATACTACAAATCGATACAGCATTCCTCGACTATATAAAGCTTAGAAATATAGTACGCGCGCAAACGTAATATTTATTTCATCCGGGGTGGTTTCGTGAAATACGACTTACGCGGTGTTTTATTTACTTTTCCTCTTACACCGAAATAATGGATTATAATAGAAAGTGGGAAAACACTTTTAAGATCTGCTCCTTTATAGACCATAAATGTAATTTAGATGATACTTTTATCAGGGAAACGATGCGATAAATAATTCAGCAGCTGAATTAAAAATTAATTCGTTCCTTCGCAGGTCATAAATATAATTTACACAAAATGTGTCTCACATAAAAATGATGCGATAAATAATTCAGTAGCTAAATGATAAATTAATTCGTTGTTTTACGGACCATAAAAATTTAAAAATGGGGCAATGAATAATTTAATAATTAAACAAGGCTTGGTATCGAACAAGTGGATCCAAAGAGTACAGTTCAATAATGTCGCGAGTTCATATCCGCCGGTTAATCGGCACCTATCGCTTATTAAATAGCAAAAGAAGTCTCAAAGAGAAGCCCGCTTCGTTTCCCAGCAATGTCGCTTGCAAATAGATTTTACGAGACGCTTAAAACGTAATTCGTGTCCCGGGGAAATTCATTAATTATTCCGCGACACCTCACCCTCCACCGCTGATTGCTCGTTGTCTGTTCTTTCTGTATCCCATTTAAACTTCTATCTTTCGCCTCGCGTCTCCCACCGACGAAGATGGAATCGCCACTATACCGAGAAATTAATGGCTTTCTGTTAGATGCTCTAAACGTTGCAATCTGAATTCTATTTGCGTTTCAGTTTTAATATAACCGACGCGAAAGAATGGACATAAATCCGAAGCTACTACGCGATTCATTTTCTTTTCATGTCGTACGCGAGTTCGCGCGATTGATGCGTCTTCCCGTCGAAGAACTGGATAATAAAAATATGAGCGATGTTGATTTACTTCCTTCAATTTTTTCCGCCTTCGCGCTGACACCGGCTGCCATCATCTTTCATCGTGGTTATCGATTATTTTACTTCAGCTTTTTGATATTCAACCTTTTGTGCCGTTTTTTTTATAACATTATGGTTCAGGTCTTTTAAATGACAAGGTGTCACCGCTCGTTATATCGCCAAGGTAGCAATATTTCAGTACCGGACTGTACGTTGGTGCGCGCTTATGCTGCAAATTAGAAAGAAGCACTCGAGCTAACCACAATTCTTTCACGACGATTCGAGGCGACGGTGTTCATCGAAGTAACGCTTCGTCGCGTGAAAATAGTACTCGAAACGGTATAACGTAATGTACGTGACAGTTCCTGAAACAGAATATTACAATGTTCACGTAACGGTTCACTGCAATGCCTGTGCAACACGACCAGTATCATCTTGCAAGGTTACTGCGACATTACGGTGCAACGTTCTGCGAAACGTTACCTGTCAGCGTTTAACGTTTCCTTTGAGCAACTTCCAGTTATCGATGGAAACAAGAACGCGGCGAATTGAATCGAAACACCTCCGCGAGGCGACGAGATCCATTCGTCTTACGAATTCGTTGCGTGCCACTACGCATACCGAATTCGAACGTGTACGGGATGCATACCACGAAACATTCGTTCCCTGATAGATCGTCGACCAACGTTTCCGATTAACAGAACCGGTAAAGTAACGTCGCAGAAATATTCATTCAACCGCGACTGGTTTAGCCAGTATTTTATTTTTATCCTTCGGTGATGTTTTTTACGCTACATTTTTCAATTTTCCAAATTCTTCCACTTTTGAGTCTTCTCGATCAACAGGAAGAAATACTTCCTAGAATATTTCATCGGTCAGGTCACGGTACTGTCTTCTCCGAAGAGATTTCTCTTCTGTTTTGATCCAAGCTTTTTTAATGCAACATCCGCGAGACTTGCTCAAGGGACCGGAAGCGGTGTTCCAGCAACGAGGAAGCTGAATCGTTACACAATGGGATACTCGACAGTCTCGATGGAACGCCATGAATCTCGAGGCTGCCGTTTCTCCTCTATGGTGGTTGCATCACGAACACGTCGTGCTATGAAGTCGTCTGAAAATTTAATTGGATACAAATAGCAATGATGTCTAAACACCGGTGAAGCCATTCATGACCGATAATAAGGTTGGTCGCGTGCACATCCGATTATTTGGCGTGTGAACCGACAGGATGTGCGTCGCTTTCTGCTATAAACTTACTACACGCACGTAATTGGGTATACTTGTCGGTTGTAATCGTAATTAAAGAGTAGAACTCGCTGTTGATTTACATCCATATTAATGAATGCAAATTCTTTTAAAGCAATACTTACAGTCTTCTTTATTTCTCTCCGATTAAAATGTTGACGTTATATTTTTGCACGAAGCGAATAAATTCTCTCTGTTTCCGTCTCGGCTGCTGGGAATAATTAATTAAAGAAATTAACACGAAATTACCGTGTAGAAGTCGAGTTCCATCCTGACAGTTTGCGCAACGCGCTCCATTAGGGTGTCGTTGTTCGAAAGATACTTTCAGCACTTTCTAACCCATTTTTAAACCCATTATGGCCACATAAATTGTTACGTAAACGTGGTGTAATTACAAGATCGTGTGACTTGAACCGTTATAGAAAGTTCCTTATAACGCTCAATCTAATGGCGTATCCCGAGCACCGGCTGATTCCAGCCTGTCTTTCCATTATCCTGTGCAACGGTACCGGGATGACCGTGATTGCCCTATAATCCCAACTGTTGTACTGTAATCAACGTTGCTTCGAACCGTCGCCGATTAGAGATAGCTTATGCCATCCGTTTCATCCCCTTACACATCTTTGATCGATCGATGCCTGTAATCCGACTGTGTCCCTCTTATCTCTCGCTACTCTATTCATCCGGACGCGCGGATACATCATTGAAACGATTAATATCCAAACTGCGAAATACCTAGATTGCGTCGTTTAATGATAATAGCTGTTGTATCGACACGCGCTGCATTGCCATTCATTATATCGGTTCGTGTTGGGTTACCGCACGTTCAATTACAAAGCTTCGGATTACCACTCGTCGATTATCTGTTCAATTAACGAGCTAAAAATTACTGCGCGTTGCGTCGACACGAATTTGGTTATTATTTTATGTCGCCGAGCGTTGAATCATCGTTACGTATATCCAAACGTAAGAGTCTTATTTTCATTTCATGCAACGCGTCTCATAGGTCGATAAGATTTGGAAACGCAGTTGGTCTCGAATATAAGGAAGGTAATTACGCGTGGCCGGAAAAGCCGCGAGGGAAAGAGGGAGGACAGCTTTGAAATATGTCAGAGACCGGAGTGAGCTTTTATCGAATACGTAAACCGCGAAAATGTGGCGGACGACCCTGAATAAGAAGCTCTCGGGACGAAAGACGCGAAACGAAGGTAACCAGGCTACGTGAAAAGAAAAGAGGAAAGAATCGGGACAACGGCAGCTTTCTTGCGCGATCTTTTGTCAACGGGACAGCAGCTCTTCTTCTTGACGGTACCGGGCATTCTTCAGTGATTCTCATTTTAACTTGCCAACAAAAACCTTGTCTAGGTTCATTCTCAAATATCTTTCTATATTAATTAAGGTAGATCCATTTAAAAGAATGTAAACGATAGTAATTTTTTGTTCTGCCAATACAACTGTTATTATCGAAAGAGAAAGGTTCGTTCCGTTGAGAATCACTGAACTAAAAGCCGCAGAAACTGAAACAATGCCGACTCGACCTCCTACCCCCTCGTTTCACAAAACATCATCCCTCTTCTTCCCTTATTTCGTTCTTTCTTCTCCTTGCCTCGCCTTAAAAGCTTCATCACCCCGATTCGCGGCTTTTTATCTCCCTTATTCGGCCCTACTTCAACCCCTATGCATTTTCTAACTTTTCCCTCTTGCTGCTCTTTTCTCGAGAATCCACGACTTTCTTCTCGCGATCGTTAACGAACGCGAAAGGCATCTTCTTCGATGTCATCGCGATTATACGACAGAGGATATTCGTCGATATCGTCCTTGGATTAAATGGTTCGTTAGGTCGACTCTCGTTTTACCGGACCCTCGTTAGTTTCTCTGTGTAATCGCTTCTCGGATTTCTTCAACTTCGGTTACTCTTTCGATCGCGAAGAGACTCTTTGTAATAGACTTCTTATTTTACCACCGATGATCGTCGACGCTCGAATCTCCAGACGAATTCCTGAACTTGCAACTTTATCGAGTCGAGGACGCGAGCGGATACGGGCATTATGTAACAGTTATTTTTAGTACGCGAGCTTGCAACTTTCAGGGTTTCTCGTTATTTTACAATTAAAGCGAGCTACGTTGTCCTTTACGCGGAGTTTTACACACACCGGTACAGAAATATCCTGTGACCGTAGAAAGAATCCCGAACATTTTTTCTCGAAAGCGAGAGAGAGAGAACCCCGGCATAGATCCCAGTTCCCAGGCGGAATTCTAACGAGAATCGCATTAGTCTCGAAGCTCTCGAGTTACAGAGCGAGCGCGTGTTCGGGTGTACATTTCAAACAGGCGTCTAACTTTCACACCTACTGGCCGACACCTGTGTGAGCCAACCCTAAATGCAAATCACTAGACCACGGGTTACGCGCGAATAATAGATGGCGTAGCTCGGCTCGATCGATATCGCTACTCGAAAAGCCAATCGAGAGGATCATCGATCGTCGAAGCGACGCTTTGACGAGGGCAACCTGGAGCGGTCTGAACCGTTACACTGGTTCACGTGCCAGCGGGGCTTTTGCCCGCGCGAAATCGGCCAAATATCGGTGAAACGTAATTTCACGGCTCAGTGCCGATGCTACGTCATAAACCGTATCTTGTGCCTCAATTTGCAGACGTTCCTGATGATCCCGTTTTCTCCTTGATGACACCGTTTTCGGTTAACCAGCCTAACTTCGTACGTGGCTAACGTCTGAAATTATCGTGCGTCGTGTTGCTTCAATTTCCCACGCCTCGAGTTTGATCGTTTAAAATTCGTCGCAATTTCTGTAGCAAGCGCTGTATCCTGCTTGTGACGTTATATTATTGTTCTGGCTTCGTTCGGGTTACATCCTTTATCGTATATTTGGAGTAGGAGTGTTCAGACCCGGTTATAGGATCGTGGTGTTGACCATAGACTGGCCTCGCGGATGACCTTGCGAAGAATTCGATTGATCGTAGCTCGCCGAAGATACGCGTATTAAACGCGTCGAGAATAAGTAAAACACCGTGTAGAAGAGTTGTAGTCGCTCGCAAAGACAGCCCGTTGATTTACGTCTGCCGTTGATGGGTCGTAAAAAGAAAACGGAGCAACGTAAAGAGCCCCACCCGGTGACACTAGTACGCGGAGCGTAAAATAGTCCTGCCTTTTATCGAACCGACATCTGTCAGTTAGACGGTTAATTTGTGTTTGTGTTTCGTTTCGCGTAGGTGGGCGACAGGGACACGCTCACGTCTGTGGCCGCGAGGTTCGACACAACGCCATCCGAGCTGAGCAAATTGAACAGGCTCGGAAGTACTTTCATTTATCCCGGCCAGCAATTGTGGGTACCGGCGAAAGGAGAAGGTCGACCAGGAGGCGAAACCACTACCGACGCGCCTAGTCCGGATCCTTGTCACGACCACGAGTCCCAAGATGACCTACCTCCAGAGGAAAAAGGTAATTATCTCGATCTTTTTACGATTTCGCTAATTCTATACCTTTCTAGCCTCCTTTTCGTAATTACACCACGGGAATAGCATCGGTTCGAAAATTCTTCTCCGTATACTAATTCTAATCTGTATCGATTTTCTATCTCGTCACGTAACACTGACGACAACTTGACAATTGTTGCGTGAGATTCGAAGGATCTATTGTTGACATATCAGCCATGCAAGCTCATTGAAATTTTCACGCTAGATTTGTTTGCAGCGGATTAATATTTGCTTTACTTGCATTTGTTTTCTCTTGTGTCGATATAACTGCGAGTTCTATGTAGGCTACCTTATAACGTGAAATTCGTTAATTGGAGATCAGACCCCCTGCACTGTCTAGCTCGTTACGCCAATGTGTATTGTAGGTCATATCGTCTATGGTAGGGTTTGGTCGTAGAAAGGAATCTTAACGGGCTAAGTTAGGTCAGTCGAGTCTAGTGAATGTCAAAGAAATAACGCAGTCGATTCTGCGAAACGAGTTTTCAGTCTAGCCGAATTTCAGGTGTTGGAATTTTGTCAAGTTTCTATTTGGTTCTATGATATCATCCAACTTAATCTTTATCTCGAGGCAGACTGTCAAGGAATGCTACATTTTTTACGTACGATGTTATGAATAAGAGTTGTATCTAGGTGAAGGTAACGCAAAAGTTATTATACGGTTATAAGAATTCATCGCTGTACCGACAGAATTCGCAAATATTTCATTGCGTGTTGCCCGACGTTAGAACACTGTAGCGCTTCGTAACTATGACCCGTGTATATGTATATTCAAAGACGTTGTAACACGAATGCAACGTCGAGTCTTATCTATCCGATATGTGCAATAGAGTCGCGTTAATATTCAGAGTAGTGTCTGGTATACGCAGATACAATCGAAACTCGATTCATCTTGATATTTGGCCAGGTGAGTCAATGCGACCCACCTGAACGCGCCACTACACTACTCTTGCTCGCTGATCCATTATTCATAGAGAGAGCCGTTCGCGCCAATTTTGCTTTCGAATTATGTTAACCACGCATTAAGTCATGTTTTGATACGAATACATTGTCGTAGATCGTTAGACGAATCGATTATGAATCAAACAGAAATTAAGCAATTTCCTTGCTACGCTATGAATATTTATCGCGCCAAACAATAATCGAGCCGAGGTATAAAAATAACGATGCATGACGCAACGCTTTTATGCGAACCATAAAATCCTTCTAAGTTGTTTGTTGAAAGCTTAACCCTTCCGTACGTTGTACAGTCATGTTCACAATTTACAATTTCTCTACATTCTTCGCACCGTATTTATACATTTTCCTTAAATTGTCTTTACGATTTAGACCTTCTAGAATTTTCTTAGATTGTTGTCACAATTTTGTAAAATCCTTCCTTAGAATCTCCCTGGACTTTCCAGAAGATCTCTACAGAATTTTCTCGTCGCTCTCTAAAATGTAGAGAAGTTTCAAATTAAATTTAAGTTCCGTTTCAAACCCGAGGTTTACAGAAAATTTCTACAAAGTATCTGTGAATTTGGTTATTGAAACTTTTCGAAAACTTTCCTCCTGGTGGCGCCACGTTACATAATCGTATGCACGCGTAAGTCACTGTTCTGTAAAATTAATTGCTGTGTACGTTTGATCGAGTGTAAGTTTCAAAACAAATTATGTTGTAGCAAAAAGCTACCAAGTTTACGTGGGCGTACATAGCAGATCGATTTTCGAGGAGGTCTATACGTTCTTCCTTGTCTCGCTCTGGTTCCCGCGCATTCTGCTTTCCTCTCTCTTCATGACCTATACTTGATTCACTTTTGGCAGACACTTTAATCGATAGTCATGATTCAACCTAGTTAAATTGTATAGTATGTTGTTGGTAAATTATAAATGCACACGAAACAATATCTTTCTTCGATGCTTTGTAATTTTTATGATATACTTTTTTATAGATCGTTTTGATAATGTTTTGTTCGATTGCCAAACGTTTATGTACGCACAGAATTGGGAATCTGATAAAAACACTGTAAAATGTTTAACCATATGTTATCAAATGATGGTAAGTTTTTATTCTGCTCGATGTATATAGTAAAATACATCAGCTGATTGATGTCCCGATGTAAACTGTGAAAGCAATATGGCGTTGTATATACCTAACATAACCTGTACGCTGTCAAAAAACAAACGTTTCGTGTTATGCGAAATAAAATAGGAATGGTGTCACTATACAATCATCGCATATTCTAACCAAGTTCAGTGCTACAAGTTAAAAACTGTCATATTAAATGAAATCAAATAATTTAAATATCGTCATTAAATTGTGTGTAATAACTCATTGAATTTTACAAAGTAATCTCTTTAGAATAATCAGTTTCCTTCCTTTTAAGATGGGTAGGTTGTGAACCTTGTAATGCGAACTGACTTTAAAGTAAAAATTTATAAATTTTATTGTATTATAATTTACAGAACTTCTGGATAATTTGAGGCCAGTATCGCCAAAACCAGGCCATATGGAAAGAGTGAAGACACCTCTTAGCGATACGAATGCAGTCATAAAAGAAGAGGAACAACCGTTTAAGGAAAGATTCTTGAAAATTAATGTTCGTCACATCACGGATGGCCAGGTAAAGCTTGTCTTCATATTACTCCTCATCTTAATTTTATTTCTCTGCCTTCTATTTTTATTTATTTAATGGGGAGAATTTTTTAATAATGCTTTTACTTTGCAGGGTGTTGTCGGTGGTGTACTACTGGTCACTCCAAATGCAGTCATGTTTGATCCCAATGTCTCGGATCCACTTGTAATTGAACATGGAGCTGAATCTTATGGTGTAATTGCACCAATGGAATTTGTTGTGAATGCAGCTATTTACTATGATATTGCGCATATGCGCGTTGGCCACACAGAATCGGGAAACTTAGACAAGAAACCAGAAATCTATTACATGAAGAAACCCTCGTCAAATGAGAATATTAAGTGTCAGTCGCCGGGTAAAGATGAAAATTTCCCTGAGCTAACAGCAGATGATAGCGAAAGCGTGTGTAGTTGTGCTGAGAGAGACGGAAACGCTTTTCCAAAGGCCTTTGAGAGAGATCTCGTTACCCCCACCAATCTTCAAAATGTATGTTAATATAAATAAAATAAAGTGTACAGCTTTTGTTGGTTCTCTCGAGAATATCAAGAATTGAAAGATTGTGGAAGTCCTCCAGAAGTTGTACATCAACCTAACAGACTCCTTCAGTTTTATTTCATGCTTTATATTAAGCTATATTCTCTTTGTTGATTTTTAGGAAGAAGATACAACGACAACCAAAGAAAAAGAGGCAGAGAAGGAGACTAAAGACGTGTGCGGTGGTGGTCAAGCAAGTAGAACATTAGAGGAACGTAGACGTTCTATGCTTGACCACCACTGGGCAGTTCCTAGCAAAGATAGGTGTACGCTATCAGTCGAGGATGAGCAACAAGACTCTTTAAGTTCTGACAAGGTAGGATCATTGTCGATATATTGTAATACTCGTGATACTCGTAACTCGAGTAAATAAAATTGAATTAATGTTTACGCTTATGTTACAGACCGACTCAACGAAATCGAAGACGATTCCCGAAGACGAAGAAGGATCTCTAGTCAAACTGTCATGCCACGACTCTGGTATCGACATTCGTGACCCTAATCCCCCTTTCCCAGTAGTTCAGCCTAACCCTTCAAAGAAAGTATACTCAGACGCAGATATTGTCTTATCTTCAGATTGGGTACCTCCTATTACTATTGCCCCGACGAATCTTACAACCGACATGCTAGATAGCGGTTCTGCCATTAATGGTAGAAAGAAGGCGAGTTCGGTATCTTTTAGTTTAGACAATACGGAGGAACCCGAGAAAGACGAAGAACACAAAGACGATGACAAACAAGAGACTCGTAGAAATAAGGTACGATGAATCGTTTCATGATTATTAGCATAATATTATTGTTACGTTGTACAACATTTTTATTTGTACTTCAGATGTTAAAACGGTTATCGTATCCATTGTCATGGATGGAAGGATTAACAGGAGAAAAAGAAGAAGACAGTAAATCTGGATCTGATAAAGTTTCGAGCCTCCCTAATAGCGCAGACTCTCATCATTCGTCAGTCTTCAGTAAAGTTTTTTCAAGGTGATAATCTTTGTCATGTTAGAATCATACGATATTTACGAACTTCTTTTACTAATCTATTCCTATATGGTATATTAATATTTCTGGTAAACTGGATAATACGCTTCTCTATATCTTATTTTTCATTATTCATCTTTGTTAGGAATGAGTAACGATCGTTGAACGGTTTGCATAATTCATATACAGGGAAGAGCCTCCTTTGTATGGTATCAAATTTCTTTTTACCACGCGTGATTGCTTTTTTGCTCAAATGTTCATAGAACATTTCAAATATTATCGGTATGTTATAGTGTAACCGGGGCTGTTCGTATCAAAACGAATCGCATATTTTAGCGCACGTATGCTTTCTGATATATCGTCGATACGAAAGATTATGCATCTCTGATAAATTCCGATTTCTTTCGAATATAGAGTATTAATTAGATACTTGCGCATAGAAGCAAGTTGCTTATTGCATTTGTGAAACGCAAGTTGATATACATTTTCTCTTTTCTTCTTATAAATCATAAAAGGACTGTAAACTAACCATAGGAACGTATACATGTGAGATTTTCAGCTCTGTCCAGACCTCGTCTTCGATAACGTCGTACCATCACAGTCTATTATGCAATTATTCAAAAAATGTCTTACAATGATGACAAGACGATCGTAGCAAGCGATTATAGGCGCTCTCATAAAAGAACCATAGATGATGCACCAAGTTTTAACGATACTGTAGTAGACCTGACGTACATTTAATACGCCCAGTTTCATGGGAGTTTATATGGTTCTCTTTATGGTGCCTAGAGATCGCCTTGCATGATACTCGTAGTAAAGTGGATTACACTGGAGTCTCGCTATATGGCACTGGGTAGAATAATGGAAAGTCGTATAAATGGAAATATTTCCACGCAGTGCTGTTCAGATGAGTGTATGTAAGTGCACTAAATAGAAGACAAGCCACGTAGGGAGAATGCAGTGTGATTAGATGATCGTAAGAATACGTTGGTTTTATACAGCATTCTGATAACGATTATATTCGGGAGTCTGGGAATTGGTAGGACTGTGATGGTAAATCTTGTGTGTGTTTAAATTAAAGCTTCATTGTCGTTTCTAATGTAACTAACAAAGAATATGTAATGGTGGTGGATATAAGCTCGCCGATCAACCTGGTGAGTGACTTTAGCTCGGGCCTGTTTGCTAAAACTCCCAGCGAAGAGAGCGGTGGGGGCGGTAGGGCTGGAGGAACTCCTCCGCTTACCGCCTCCTCTCTCTCCCAGGACTCCGGCAATCCTCAGGTTTCACCTGGTCCAGGAGGGCTTATGGGGTGAGTTTGGGCCCGGTCATGAATCAGCAACTTACTTGTATCCACTTTATTCTTTCTTTCTTCCTTCCCTTCCTGCTGTTCTATCTTTTTAATATCAGATTGGCTGTACCGTATTTCGACTCGATATGATTTTTAAGTGTCTCTGTTATTAATTAGACTTCTAGTTTGTTGTCTGTTTTTCCTCGACACTTTGTGCACTCCGATACAACGTAAGTTTCCTTTAGTTCGAAGGAAATGATGGAATGTTGCATTTATCTTTGACCAAAGGAATCCGAGATTTGCATCCGAGTGTACGTTACACTTGTATAAAATATACAGTGTTTCCTGTAAGTTTTATTTAAACGCAATTATTCTTCTTTCTCTCTTTCTATCTGTCTCTTGTTCTTGTTGGAAAATTTGATTTCCCGTAGGACCAGTTTACGATGGGTTCTGTAAGTTACTCTCGATCCCGCCCCGTTATCTCGCTTGCCCGTTTTCTTTTCGTTACTTTGTTCAAGCCTTTCACACGGGGTCATCGAGATCAGACCCCAGACTCTGTTCTCCTGCTTCCAGGTAAACGTGTCACCATCTTTTCAGAAACTCCGCCACAGTATCGCTTACAAAAACAACACACGCAACCGAAATAAACACAGCAAAGTTTAGCCTAAACCCCTTCGACAGCCACCTAAGTTTATTTCGCCGAATACGCTGGACACGATTAATGTTTCACCTTGAATGTTGTGTCCCCGCGATCGATCGTTCCCGAACTGTGTTGCAACCGTGTCCCGTTTTGCGTAACGCGTTCTTTCGAAATTACTCGCAGAACACACGCGGGATTTCACCGACGAGACTTGCTCGCTCGAGAAACCCTGTGTACCCTGTTGTAATTTTGAAACGCGACTCGGAAGCTGTTTTCCTCGACGGTAGAATAACTTGCCGCACGATTTCCTTTCAGACGGTCCTCCGTAGGCACGTTCATCAGACAACAACCGTTAACCTCGTCGGGCAGTAGCAGCGTGGACAGTAGTCGAGGTAGCAAAACTTCAACGAGTAACGCTCCACGTTTGGACTACCGCAGCATGGTGTCCGTTGAAGACATGCCTGAACTGTTCGTCAGCTTCGACAGTAAGTGTCCCGATACGTGGTTCACTTTTTCCGACACTCTGTACTTTATTCTGTGTATACATTTCTCGGAATGATTCATTTAAAGTTCTGATCGTACAAGATTCTCTTCTTTTTCTGCTCGTACAGGGTGTTCTAAGGTGCAGTGCTGAGCTAGCTTTAAATTATCTCCACGGAGTGAGTTACTGGGAAAATTTCTAAATTTTGTGAGAAAAGAAGACTATCTCAGCATTGTACATCCACGCACAAGGATGTTCTTCCTTAAATGTGGAAAAAGTAGTGAAAGGATCCTCCTATTATTCGCCAGATTAAATCGATGTGGTAATAAGATGAAAGCACGAGTGAAACGAATGTTAGGAGACTCCTTCCTCTAAATTTCCTATCAACGAGAGAAGTCATCTTTGTGCGTAACTGTACCATAAATGAAACTGTTCTGTAAACTATATAATATGTTGAATTTACACCTTGTTTTATAATATTCTTGACATTGATTACAGTACAAATGTTAATGAATTAAAACACAGCACCCTGTATGGTAGGTGTTTCTTAAACAGTCTATTTCTTAACGTAAACTTTACATTCGTCTCTTTACATGAAACTAGTCGATGAAACATTGTTACTTCAAAGTGATAACTCTGTTTATTAATTACACGTAACCATGAACACATAAGTAAATGAAATGGCAAATAAAGATGGCAAACGGGAGTTACATTACCACGCACTGCACTCGCTCGTATGTATAGACAGCTTCTTAACACGTTGATTGCCAATTAATTTTTACTCCGATATCTCTTCGAAGATATTAATCACTCGATCGAATTAGAGTCACGATGGCAGTGAACGTGTTAAACGATGTTACTTTGCTAGTGCATTATTGTTCTTATTTTTCGAATCTTTTGAGCGCCTTTAGAGTGGATTTCGATTCTCTGAATAATTTTTGTTTTATATCAGAAAGGTGACTCTATTAAAAAGTTGAGTACTAAGTGCGCTTGTATGAGTAGATTTAACTATGCGTTTAAACGTAGACATATTTTTCATAGTTTTCGATTACTATACTCGTTTGTCATTACCAGTTTCACATTTTATTATTATATTCAATGTATCATTCCACCTATTGTACGCTGTTTCGCGAATCTGTGCCATCGGTTCAGGAATCGATATTCGAACAGTATCTTTTTAATCTGGCACAGATACGAGGAACAGTTACGCTGCTCGACTTGGATTTTAACGATCGAATAGAACCCAAGATCGAGTTCCTTCATTATTTAAGCTCATTATTATTAATTTAAACGGAGGGACATTTTTAGTGTGCCTCCTGAATACTGAAACCTTTTATGCTGCGTCTCATACATTCTTTAACACTATCTTCACAAATTTCAGATTTAAAAATTTTCAGAAGTTGGGTATGTTTAGATAAAAACTGTGAAATTCCTGAATTTATCTTGTACAAATTTTGAACTGTATAAATTTAACATCCGATGTAAGAAATTTGTCGATGAAACAGAGACGTAGCGCAATGGGTTTCACGATTATTTTACCAGTGAATCCATACTAATACAGTAATGTCATATGTTTTGTTGTCCCTCTAGTCCAAGCACCTAATTTTCCCGAACTCGAAGGCCTCGGTAGGTTCATATTAGTATTAGCTTGCTTTTTCCACGAAAACCCACCTTGTCACGTTGTCTCGTAACCACGAGTCCTCCTCCGAACCAATAGTTTTACTATTGATTGTCATTACCATTGATTATCTCACCAGAATTTTTCCTTGTAATTTATCGTCGATTGTATGTACAATCGATTACGTGTATCCTGGATCGGCCAACGATTTTTCTTTTTATTATTAATCCTACTTTGGGTTTTGACGCTTGCACCCGCACACTTGAATGCATTCTTTTACTCTTTGTGTACCGTTTGATCTGTGTATTGTGGAAATAATTTTTAAACCGGATTAATGTGTAATTTCAATTCTATACATATACTATATCTATCGTGATTTTGTGTCTCGTATAATATTGCGTTTCAACTAGTGATGGGTATAAACAGTTACAAAAATTGCTTCGAATTTTATTTGAATTATAAAAAACTTGAACATGTACACATCGTGCACACCGTGAGCTCTTTCCGAGCACATGATCTGCCCCTTTTACAAAGTCATCACTAGTTCCAGCGATATTTCTAATCGAAAACACCCGTAATTGTCTGCGACTTGTGTGGTGCCTCTTTGGAAGCTTCTTATTTATTTATTTATTTTCTCGTAATTTGAACTGCGCATATTGCACAAGAAATATATATATTCGATGGATATGAACATTGTGTGTGGTAAGCGTTTCATCAAATTTTTATTGTATTTTTTTTCTTTTTTTTTGTAATGGATCGCAGACAAGATACTAGTATAACGAAACTGCATCGGATGAATTGATAATTGAAACGGATCCGAGATATCAAGGATGATGTTACATTGTATATGTTTTTTGTCGTATTACGTAGAGCTTTTACCACGACCAGCCCGTTCCTGCGAGGATCCTCCATTGTACCTGAGACTGCGAACCGGAAGGCCGAAAGACAAGAAGATTCCACGCTCGACGCCTATTATGAGCTATGGAAAAAAGAAACTGAGGCCTGAATACTGGTTCGGCGTACCACGAAACAGGTATGCAAATTTATTTCCATATTTCTATCTCGCATTTTACTTGCGTCACAGTGTACTCGCTTTTGGTGCATCTTTATACCGCAAAAATTTGGAAACACGAACATTTTAATAATTAGAGATTTGGAAATTTGCAAATGTAAATTCGGCTGTATACAAAATTTGAAACTTGTAAAATTTGCTAGCGATAACGTTATCAGTCATAAATATCTTATGTTCTGGCAGTACCTATAAACTTGTCATTCTCGCGATTGTTCGATGATCGAGATCGAAGTCCAGAATTAAAGTAGATCTTCCAGATTACACGCTATAAAAATTTTTATGAATTTAATTTAAAACTGAATTATGCAAAAGTATTCTCCTTGAACAACTATCGTAATTTCCGTTTTCCAACATTATTATTAAACGATTGATAGGAATTTCGATAACCAGCGAACGATAATGAGATATCGAATGCCGGGCAATTTGTGGAGATAAAGCGGCGTACTTACGCAACATACTTTCACGGAACAAGAAATTCGTGTTCGCTCGTGTACTTGGGATTCGGCCGTCCGGTGTCGTACATGTTAATTTCTCGAGGCGGGATAAATCGTGAGCATCGGTATCGCGCAGTAGTTACTCGCGTGCAAAAAAATTCAGCTAAATTTTGCACGTAGCGCTTTTGCAACGGTGTTGCGTCAGCGCAGGTAACCGCAATAAACACGCATCAATTCGCTCGTGACTCACTTCTCTAATTTTTCTCCTCCGTTAACCGACGGCTCTTTAACAAGTGTCTGGCTAGGATTCTCGTCGATTACATCACTGTTTCGTTCCCGTTCGTCGACGCGGTTATTGTTTCGCGTTATTGTTCCGTACAACGTTCGTGGGTGTTCGGACACGAACCAGTGCGCTGTGCTACCATTTTCGATTCTCTTCCGATATTACGCTCGAAATCGCGTTCACGACTTTCCGTCTCGACGGTAAACCGATTGCATTCTGTGTTTTTTTATATATTTTTAACAGTAAACATTCGTTCGATTTATGGATCATACACTGACCGACGCTACTTAAAACCGGTTTGCAATTCAGGAAGTAAACGTAATTGACATCTCATGAGCTACTGGTTCGGATATTTAATTCATGAGTTAGGTAAATGATCCCATTATTGGACACGTAATCGTTTAGTAATTATTTTTAACGTATGCAGAATTTTCTATAAAATAAATTTTCAGTCGGTGTTTCTTCAAGCAACTTAGCTTTTAAGTGTAACATTAAATATTTATCACAAGATCTCTTATATAAATGAAGATATTTCTGTTTTTATAACGTTGATTACGTGTTTTTGGTAAATTTTAACAAATTATCATAGATGTTTGTGAAACTCTTTTTAAGTACGTATGTATTAAGTTATCTTATCAAAATCTGTAATCGTACTTGTTAACGAACATCTCGATAGGAGAACAATTCCTAAAATAATAAACACGATACATCTGCGATATTTTAAGGCATTTTAATCGTTGTTTTTAAATTAAATGAAACAAACGATCGGTCACTGTATGTGGTCATTAATGGGTACATTTACCTTGTTACATCGTGTAACTTCGTTCATAAATTTACGTTAATTACATCAACAGCAATAAATTTTGCGTTCTGACATACATCATTTTGTGCTTAATAGTTATATAACCTATGGATCTAATTTTAGATCTATATCTAGTGAAGTGCAAATAGTCGGTTACTGTGTGTAAGAATTCGAAATAAATCGATCATAGAATATCGAATAAAAAGTGTAGTGAAGCCCGGAAGTGAGTAAAAATTCTGGAAGAATGAGTTGGACTTGGAACGCGTTGAACAAAGTGGTGAATTTTGTTTACGAGCAAAATGCTGTACAGAACATCCTGCCGTTCGTCCACCGAAGGTAATTCACGATCGAATCTAATAAAATCAATTTCGTTTTTTACCTCAAACGATAGCCATTCCTGGTCGATAAAATAACCTTCGATTGTTTAGTAGCATCGGCGAGTTATCCAACAGATGGAGTTGTTTTATTTTTCTGTGCTGTTTGAAAAACGAGGAAGTTCTTTCTAGGAGTGTCTAAAGTCTAGATTCAGAATCTTGTGACAAATAAGACAGCTGAATTACGAGAAGTTCACCTTCAATTTGTCCTACTTATTCGTAGAATATTTTTTATTTAGAGTACTCAGATCCAAGGATATAGCTAGAAACATTTACATTTTAAAATATTTTATGAATCTAGAAATATTAGAAATCTAGAGATGTTTAAAGTTAAATTGCCATCGCGTTAAATCTTCCTATATCGAAGCGATGTCGTCATGCGCTATATGGCAACATAACAAGAGTCCATCATAATTATTCCACTCTGCAACGCGTAATTATGTTCATACCCCAAAAGTACATAAGCTTAACGAACCATGTCCCATTAAAACCCGCGCAAGTAAATTTCCACGAAATTGTAAAAACAGACTTTTCTCGAATCAACAACAGCCGTATCGGGAGCATACAAAAGCGAAACAAGTGTTACATATGCGATTACCCTTATCGCCGCGACGATAACGCTTGAAAAGATCAGTAATGTTAATCGATCGGAAGTACTTTCACGGTAAATGAAAACGAAGAAAGCAAGTTCTCTGCATAATTTCACATAAGTTCTTGTCGTAGTTACAAATTTTTATTCAACAGATTATCGTTGAGGAAATAAAATAAAATGTTGAAGATGCTGAAGATGAAAGTTTTCAAAATGTGAGCACCAAGGAAATTTTGTTCACGACCAATGTGATTTTTTTATCAAAAATCAAAACAGTAGAAGAATCGTAAATTCATGAGATTATAAAATTTTATTAAATTAATGTTTCTCATGTACACTTAATATTTATGTATAAATGTTGGGGGTTGGATGAAAATGTTTCGAGGGTTGGATCCATAGCGCAGGGATCGCTGACTGATAGTGTTTGGTCATCGAACGTTCTGCTATCGTTAACGCGCGTATGTTCTCGTTATTTGCAGGGTGGACGACCTGTACAGGTTCATCCATGCGTGGGTACCGTCTCTGTACGGCGAGCTGGACGAGAATTATTGGAGGGAGCGTGGTTACATTCTGCTGGACACGGATACCGATTTGTCGCCCGAATTATCGCCGCACGAGGGCGGCGAAGGAGGAGAAACCACGGAGGATGGTAAACCTCGCAATCAGGATGGCGACGAGATCTCTGAACTGACGAGAGAATCATGGGAGGTGAGTACGTTCTTCATTTTCTATTTTATCGATCATCGAGCACCGAAACTCGGATCATTTTACTTTTCGTTCGTTGACACGTTGAGCATACCAGATGATGGAAATTAATTATATCTGGTACTCAAGGATGTTCTTGCTGTTTCTAGGTTTTTATTGTGCAGGGAATTCTAATTGTTGTAGCAGGACACAGCGTTATTCTACATTTTTGAACCGATTATTCTTAGAGGATAGTTATGAGGACAAGTTAGTAGTACTTCCTATGATACGAAAATACAAAGGTGGTGCGAAAGAAATTCATCTATAAGTTGATTAGAACAGCAACAACGTCTTGAGTAACCATAATTCGCAAGTAAACCTTGAAGAACCAAAAATCTACGGTTTCATAAATACAAAATATTGATCTACCAAAAGTCTGACACCTCGTTAAACGATTCAACGTGTTAACGAACCGTCTCATCGAATCGATTCATACGAAATCGCCGTTGATTTGTCACTCGACATCTTATCCACACGTTCACGATAATTTGACGTTTCTTTGCATCATCTCGCACTCTCGTTTGCGATTCAACGCACATCGGTCGTCGTACCGGCATCTCGTTGTTTTGTTTGTCGAGGATCTTGCATTAACACGGTTAACACCTCGACTGTACATCGTTTCTTCAGCCTTTGTTTTCTCATCGTCATCGTGGCAGTATCATTCTTTGCTAAAACGCACCCGCTTCGTATCTCATTCTCGAGATTCATCGTCGCTAATTTTTTTCTTCCTTTTTCTGATTCCGCATCTCTCACCAGCTTGATTTTTATTTTTCTGACCGATGATTTTTCGTTTCTCTCACGGAGGGAAGTTAGCGATAGTGGTTCCAGCGCCTGGATCTTCGCATTGATGGCTTTAATATTTCTGTAAATTAATGCGTTCTGTGCTGAAGATGTCTCGTGGAGTCTTGAAGCTCTGAAAATTTTTAACTTTAAGATTTGACAGAACTTTATTTAAAATAGAATGCTATTTTAAATTATGCGATATCTTGGGTAAATATATGAATCACCGATAGCGCCAGCACAGAGCGTTGCAAGACAAAAGATCCCTATTGATAGAAAGAGATTTGTAATCATGATCGATGCGAGGATCAAGAGCGAACGGATGAAAAGGCAGTAAAGAAAGCGTTAAAAACGGCCGATTAATATTGGCTAACAGCTGATCAAGGCCCCGTACGTAAAGCTGTACAGCATCCTGAAGACGTCGAGCACATCGGCGGATTCCGAGCAGATCCAGGACCCGGAGGTACCGATTCCCATCTCCTCCCTTGACGATCGTTTTATATAGGCACTCTAATTATTGCTCGATGTTAAATAACGCACCTCCTTCGGTCACACTCTTTTCACACTTTGTTCGTTTGATCACCTAAGCACCTTTTCGTCGTGTTTCGATATCAAGTGTCGTCTTCCGAAGTTGTTTCTTTTGGAGATCGGTCGGAGGAGATATTCGAAAGGGATTAATCGTAGCTTTTGGTGGGTGGATACATGCATGCATTCTCTGTGTGGCTTGGACTTCGATAAGTGGTTGATTTCAACAACACTGACACTCTTGACGTAACTAGGGATCTGGAAATTGCAATGTTTTACATCCGAATGTCTAAATCTCCAACTCCTCTGATCCACTCAACGTAAATCCTAGTTACGCCAATGAACACATGCACTGAATTCGAAACGTGAAATTGTATTGTCTGATATTTTCAAACGTCGCTCGACGAAATGTCAATGAGTAATTAGTTGAACATGCTTTTCAACTGATGCTATCATGACCGGATTTATTTCCGGATGATCGTGAGTACTCGTGCGTCATCTCTTCCGTTGATCGTCACACGTTTCGCTAAATAAAGAACGAATCTCGTTGCCGTGACAATGAGGGCAACATCCGTGAATCGGCTGCTATTTATACTAGTACATTTACAGTGTCGTTAAACATCCAGAAACGTTCACACCGCTCGAGCATTCTATTATAGTAGTACACCTCCGTAACACAACCACTATTTCAGTGATAGTTATACTATTTTCATAGTAGCTCTCGTGATTTTGAACGTGCTTAGAAAACTCACCGATTAAAAATACATGCAGGATGGAAAATACATTCTCTCTTACAGTCATTGGTAGTTGAGATTTGTCAATGACTATATCTATCTATGAACACGTGCGATAAATGTTATGTTTCATTCATTACAATTCGCAAATGTAGCCAGAAGTGTTTATAGTCACTACTGTTCTGGGATCTTTGAAAGTATTTATAGTCCCTGAACATTTATCCTAAACGATTGTTAGAAGCATGCTCTGAGGAAATATTAATGTTACACCTACAACTTCCTATCCTAGCAAATACACCGAGGAAATAGTATCATTGTTAATCACCGGCTATTATAATTACAGTATGTAGCCCTCTAGCTAACTATAGACAAGTTTACATCTAGATGCAAATCTGACTATTGATTGTCTACGAAACAGTCACATAAATACACGAGAAGTATAATAATCATTATACCTCTGTTTATCAGAAGTATCATGTGTTTCCGTTCCGACTTCCCACGATCGCTCAAAAATCCATGGCAACATCCTGTTTGTCGGGACAAACATCTTGTTCCCGTTTCCAAAATTCGTTTCCGCAAAAGAATCACGGCTGCTGCAAATGTGCCAAGGTTATTTTCACCCGAGCATCCATTGACGTCAGTGACAATGGACGAAAATTGTCCACATCACACCGCTCGCTTAAAACTGCTATTCGAACCAGAAGTCAAATGGTAGTTGAACGACTAGGAAACCCACGTTGATGCAATTTCGGTAGATACAGAATCGCAATGGTGGGAGTGCATCCTCGGGGTCGTTGTTCCGCGTTGGACGCGCGATGATCCCGTTTTATTTATCATATCTTCGCGAACGACTATCGCGGTTAGGCTAAAATTACTCTTCATTCAGACCTGGACGCGTGGGTCCCATCTGAAAATTTGATTAGAGATCGAGTCGTGAGATTCGCGAGCATTGTACTCGCTTTATGGATGTTCGATGCTGAGGATGTTTGACACTGAGGATATTTAGATCTAGAATTATTTGCAAGGTATTGGAGATACATACATTATCTTCTATTTTTTTATTCATCGGTTTCCTTATGGAATCGTAGCATCTTCTATATTACGTATTATGATAGTTGTCGAGACTATTCAATCGGTATGTAATCGACCAGTAATAGAATCTGTAAGGGTTGATGAAATGTTGAAAAGCCTGAAGAGAGGAAACACGTTTCCGTTGTTTCGAGTAATTTCGCTCGATCGTCTCTTGGTCTCGGAATCTTTAACCTTCGCGGGCTTTTCGGCGACGTGCCAACGGATTCCGACGTCGGTCGTGTTCCATTATGCCAGGGTGGGGTTTTGCTAAAATTGCCCCGCGAGCGAGCAGCGAGGCGCCGACATGTGTAACGCGCTGCTGGGCTCGGCCAGAGTAAACAATACATTCTTTCGACCGGTTCTTTTCCATCTGTTGCACGCAATTTTAGACGAACGAACATATTCCGAGCATCCGACATTCTCAAACCCGTTTCGCGACTTTTCCTTTCGTCGCTTCTCTCTCCTCGATTTCCATTCGAATCGGCGTCACGTTTATTCGTTTCGTAATACCGCGATTCTTTATCGTCCCGGTGGATTTACGACCGAAGAATTCGGTAGAAATTTATCTACCGTACCCACTATTTTTTCTAACATCGATCTAACGCGAGAACTAGTTTTCGTAGAAATTTATAACTTTGCGCCACTTTATTCTGTGATTTTTAAAATCGCATTCCTCGAATACTCGATCAGTTTTCCTTAAAAAATGTAACCGGCTATAATCGTCGAGGTCTGCGTATGGCAATCGTGTAAACGAATGCATTACGGAATGCGTACGGTCGATTAACACTCTTGTTTCGAACGTATGTCGGAATTGCTGGCAAAACACAACTGCCGGTCAGCTGAGCGATGATTAAGGACAAACAAGATAACCCGTGAGTGAATTTCCAAAATTTTCCACCGCGTTGAACCCCCTTCCAAAATTTATGATTGCAGGTTTTACAAAACTCGGACCCTCGCTCGACGGCGCGTATTGTTTGAGCAGGTATAGAAACATAAATTGGGGGAGTATAAATCTATAGAGCGTAACGAGGGGTCGCAGTAATTCCCTTCATTATCTGTTTCTGCGTACGTGACACGATGGGATCACGTACACCATATGGAAAATCTGACCAGGACATTATCTCCATTTTTCCTGGCAGATGGTAAAAATCCTGATTATTACGAACTTGTTTACCCGCAAACTTGCTATCTACGAAGTCTAAAACTAGGATTTATCGTGAACAATTTATATTCGGATTTATATTGTAACGCGTGTCATCGCACGTATCTCGAAAACAAAGTGTCGATCTTATACGTCTCGCTGGTTTTGCAAAAGTCCATAAATAAATACTGCTATCTACCGAGACTTTCACGCTCGCAGCGTGAAATCGCGAATTTTCGCGAACACTGAAACTACTACACACACTTTAAACTATAAGCTATTCGTAGCGTTTCTGCGCGGTTATGGTACAGCCCACGCGTAATTGTACGCTATCGACATTGTTGGACGCGATAATCAGTGTTTCTCATCCTCGAATACTTCAAAAATTATGCTCTCAATTATACTATAGTAGAAATGTTTAAAAATTAAAAATGCTGCTATATAACAGTAAAAAACTCTAGTATTTATATCCGAGATATAGCTAGCAATTTTATATAAATTTCGATTAAAAATTAGACCTCACTTTTCAATCAGAAAATCACAATTCAATTCTCAAGTTAAAAGAAACTTTATTGAACGTAAAGCTCCTTTAAATCAAAGACCAGTTGAATAATTTGAAAGCCTGATGGAGCAAATAAGTTGAGCTTAAGATTGATAAATGCAAGCTCGTTCGCGACCAGTGGTAATGATTTCTTCGCTGGCAGCTTTCGACGGTTCGCATTGACCTTTGACCTCGGCTGAAAGAAGCTTTCAGCGGTGCACTATTAATAGAGAAATATCGATACCGCGAAGTGCAAAACCGGAAGTACGAAGAACTATTCGCCTACGAAACGTACTCAAATAATTGTTGCATAAATAGAATTATCAGAGATGCATAAGATGAGGGAGCCAATCGATGCCGTAAAGATTACTCTGCCATTGAACCATCTTGCAACGAGCTCAAGTGACTCATCCTGTATAATTGAGAGCATGAAAACACGATGTTTGTCGATTTAGCAAAGACTTTGCTAATTGAAACAGCAAATAATCGCGTATGATTTTCATTATTCGTTTTGTATTGTTTCTTTTCACGATGACGAAAGAGACGCGTGTTAAACGAACCATTCACGGGACAGATTAACTTTGTGGAATTTTTACAAATTTTATTGCAAACAGCCTCGATTACGGTTAATCGCTTCGGCAAATGGATAGCTGAAATATCGAACCGCCGATATACGTTCCACGGCGCTATGGAAGTATCGAGCTTAATTTACTTCTAACAGGTTAATAATAGTTATCGTTAGTAATTACTAGATCGCACGAAATTGACAATTAAGGAGCTGGAAAGGAAATACGTGCCACAGCGCAGTAAATTCGCACGAAAGCCAGTTCTTTCTTCGCTAAATTGATCTAGTTAATGACGGAAAAGTAATAATAATGTGGCGTGGATTTTCCAATGGGATGTAACCATCGAATTGACTGGTTTACAACTAATCAAAAACCATGGTAATGATACGTGCTCGTTGCAAAAAGTGACCGAGGAATTATCGTATTTGGTGCATGTATTAATTAGTATTGCATTTGAGGCGGACGTGACCGCATGCACGTTACACTGGTCACGTTCTCTACTTACAGATGCTTGAACTGTTTACGTGAATTTCTCTCGGTGCTTGTCATTATAAGCCGATCTCCTGCCAAGGCAAAATTTTTATTGTTACCAAACGCGTACACGTGTTTCGCGTTCGTGGCGTACGCATCGAAGTGATTTTTCATCGTAAATTCGATCTCGTGACTTTAAAACGCGCGAAAGAATGCGCGTTAGAAAAAAGTTAGCATCGCAACAGAGATATATTTAATTTAATCGACGATAAAAAGGATTTACGGTCATAGATCCGAAATAGGCGAAGATTTGGCGGTGTTCCACAAAAGCGCGCGTTCCGTGAAAAAAACCGCGCGCGCAGCGTGTAAAGCACGTGCTGCGCGAACCGGGATGCGCGTTGCACGACTCGCCCCTTCCCCCACCACCGTCCACACAGGATGTATTAGACTCACCCCGTAACCGCGGCCGGTCAGTGTTGCTTCAGTCCTCGTGAAGTGAAGTATACCTTTCACGTGCTGTCACGCGCGATTGTTCGCAAAACGAGCTAATCAAAACTAAACTCTCATTCGTGCATTAATTTCGAGTCGCGTTGACCGATTTTGGAAAGACTTTCCAACTTTTTATACCGCGTATAATTACCGGCATTTTCTTTTTCTAAGAAAGAAAAGTTTATCGTTTGTCGTACGTATCGTTCGTGTACGTATTGCATTTTCGAAAACAAGATTCGCACGAGTGTTCCCGGGTAATACACCGTGACGAACATTTAAGACGCCGTTTCTACGGACCTGCACGTTTCTAGAAAGGTTCGTTCAGCGAAGCGTTCGACCGACGTTCGAGCGTGAAACAGAGAATGTAAATCGTATCTCGTCGAGAAACGTGTCAAAAAGGTAGAATCGAAAAAGAAGACTGAAGTTTGTCGATCTCGTGACGGAGAATCTAGTCAAAATGCCGAAGCCAAAGATTCCCAACCCCATCGCCAAAATCTCCAAGTTCCTGAAGCAGAGGACGAAGGTAAATATGTCAGTCGTGTTTTAACGACGGTGTCTCTGGTCATTTATCGATGTCGATGGTCGTTAGTCACGGGTTATTAATATGTACCACTCGTGGGAGTTTATTTTAGGAAGGTTTCAGCTTGATTTTCGGTGTGATCTTTTTAGGTAGAATTGCATTTACTCGGTTAGTCATGGAAGGGATGTTTGTTGAAATTCCGAGATATTTTAGAACGGTGATGAACCTGAAGTTGCGGACATGCAGTAAGATGTAGAGTTTAGACATTCGGTCATTTGCAAATTTCAATGGTTAAAAATTTAGTCGCTTGAAGATTTGACGATAGAAAAATGTCCTCACAGAGGAATTTAAACCCCTCAGAATTCTAATCGGGTGCTAACAAAAGTTTTTTCCATTCATCGACAGGAAAACTTCAAATATCATAATTTGTTTGTCGAACACATCAGTCACATTATCGTTCCAGCTATGAATTGTGGATTTAAAAAAATTAACGCATGTAGTTTCCTTGCTTGTAATTCCAATTGGCATCTTTAGTTAATCAGGTTTTAACATGATATTAGCATATATTAACATTTACCGAGCTATGCATCGATTTAAATACAAAGAAAATAATTGCGTATTGTAAAATTACGTTCTTCGCATTCAATCGATTCGTTTGAAATCATTCACCAAAAAAAAACTTTTTAGAATTTTCGATTGACACTTAGCAAAAAAGATGATAAATTACGTACAAGGCGAAGAAAATGCAAGTAATGTTATGTCAGAAAGGATGTAAACATGTAAGATCACACGAGAATTATTTTTAGAAATATTAATTAGAAAGGGTTCGGTATTCGTGTTGCTCTAACGCAATTAAAATAAGGGTATTTCGTTTGAAAAGGATGGTACTCTCGGGATTCACTGCACGCAGATAGAAAAATATTCCGACTCAGTTGTTTACTCGCAATACCGGTCCTTGGCCGCGCCTAGGTCCACCTTTCACAGAATCCGGCTTCGTTCGATACACCACCGGACAATCTCCAAGTTATGCAATCGCCGTATAAACACGTATTTTATCACGTACGTGCTCCTATGTGAAGGGTTGCGCTCGAGATGCTACTCCGATGGGGCTGATCGTGACGCGAAAAAACAGCGGAAATTGTGGCACGAAAGATAGGGAGATAATTTCTAATGCGGAAGATAAAACATACCGCAAGATAAAATAGAAACGGGGTGAAATTTAATTGGGATAGCAGAAATTTCATCTTCAAAAATTATAATTTAGTCCACAAGTTTTACTCCAAAATATATAGAACATTGCCAGAAGATACGATTTCTAACGAAGTACAAGTATCTGAGCAATTTGCTTTGATCTCGAGAAGATCGATTAATTTAATGATGATTAAATTTAGCAAGCCATAGATGTTTCCTCGTTGGATAACCGTATCGAAGGGAATTCAACAGGATTTTTCTTCCCAATTAAACACTTTCATGTGTTAATAATAAATTAGCGTTTTCACGAGCGCGACGACATTAATCACGTCGAAACGGACGGATAATGGGGTGTCTTGAAATTGTCTGGCACTGGCTCGAGTCTGGACTCGTTTCAGCTCGTGAGAAGCTAGTTGAGAGATTAAAATAAGTCGAAATGAGCCTACTCGGGTATGGACGTGCAGGAAATTCGAGGCAATTCAGTCTTAACGTAATTGGTACGTGGTTTGTTCTCCGTAAGTGCTTCATGCAACGAGTTACTTTTTAAACGTGTGTAAAAATCGTGAAAAAAAGGTGAATATAAAATCATTGGTGAACATAATGAATTGCAAAATTATCGAATATGGAATGTAGTGTATTAGAAATCCTAATGAAATCGGTAAATGTGAAGTACTAACATGAATGTTAGTATTAATAAAAATGTTTTTCTCAACTTTGATCATCGGAGACGCTTCTCGACTGGTACAGCTACATTACTAAGTCGTGTTAAAATCAAAGAGAAGAAAATAGAAACGTTTAAGAAACGTGATCGATCTATTAGCTCGGCGATAATAACTCGCACTCGCAGCGAGAAGAATCCAATCGATTCTGTCGAAGAATTCTATAAACATCTATCGAATCGCTGTATTTATAGTCATTCATTAAATGCTGCGGTGAATGATGATTATGTAATCGTTGTTTGTAAACGCAACGATTGTTTGATTTTGTAATTTTTCCTTCTCGTTTCATCGATGTTCTTGCGTCGCGACAGTCGTTGCATTTCATCAGTCTTTTTTTAAAGTTATAAGAAAGTATCTCGTTTTCGTAAATATTTTTTTTTAATTTGCAACAGTCGCGTGGGCGACGATGAGGTTGAACGAAAAAGGGTAAAGATCTATCCTTCGCGTATTTCGATAAAAATCGTTAGATTTATGAACTTCTCATCATTGTCAACCAAGTTGCAACGAAGGACGATCAAGAATAATACCGTCGAGGCCATTGCGAGTCCCTCGAGATACCCTGGTCGGAATTCGCTTGTACTTGACATTAAAACGACCAGGGAGGAAAGAAACTGACCGTCGAAAGGATTTTTATTTCGCGAATCTCGATGGCCATTTGAAGAGATCGCATTCGAACGGTTGCTCTCGCAGTACCATACGACTCCTCGAAACGATCGGTTCGATTTTTTAGAAACCTACAAACTTTCTTCGCTTTTCAAATTTCAAAGGAATCAGTGTTGCAACATTCAAAGACAAAAATTAGAAAGTTGGAATACAGTGAAAATTTATCACGAATGTTGGAAGACTGTTCAGAATTTGTGGAGCTTGCGGTTCAAGATTAAGTTGATCTCGATAATACCGAGATCGAAAAATTTCTCTTCGAGAATTATCTATGAATCATGTTCGTCGATACTCGTCCCACCCTTAATTACGTCTTTCAACACTCATCCAGGATGCTCTCGGTGAGGCAGTCTTGTCATTTTGTTTCTATCAATTAGCTGCAGTGATGTTTCTATCAATTAGAACAATCAAATTTGTATTATGGAATTTCTACAATAATTTATTTCACAAAACATTCGAATTCTTGTTTCCATACGAAATCCAAGAAATCAAAAGATCGCATTTCTCATTTCACGCGGAAAAATCTGCGAGATGTTAATTTAAGACGACCTTCGTGTAAGACGAGGTCGAAAAATGCTTGAAACGCTAACTAAGTTCGGTTTCAAAGATATTATATATTTTATATATGCCGATTCCGTGGGCGAAATAAAGTCCTCAAGAGAAGGATGCCTTTCCAAGGTCTGTAGACGAACGCCTTTTCCAAAGGTCTCTAAACGAATGCCCTCTTCCCGTTCCGCGAGGTTTCCTAGTCCCCGCGAAACTTGAGGCCCTAGGGTTGTTTTATGGCCCGGACGTCAGGCCTCTACCCCGCGATGGTCGTCGTAGGACGGCCATGTGCCCGTCGTCCCTGCTTTGTTAGGGTGAGTCACTGGGATTTTCTAACACTCGGCCAGCCTGCAAATATGCTTGTCCTCAAGCATGGTTTTCAATAGGTTTCTGTAACAAAAGATTCAGCATTTGCCTGAGTATATTGTTCAATCTCTAAAATATCAATTCGAGCCTCGAAAGAATATTCTACGAATAATCGATAAATAGTAGCCACTATTACTCCCCTTTCTGGTCACGGCTTTTGCCTTTGCCGTTGATCAGCTTTTATCAGCGATGACTCTTGTTCATCGCTCGATTTCTGGATCTCGTCAGAGTTGCCAAGTTGCAACCCCTTACTGATGTCTCTGGTATTCCGCTGCCATTTGCTGCTTGAAGAATCTGATGTCTTCATCATGACAGTCTGCAGCATCTGCTCTCTGTCATGACACTTTCGCGAATCAGACAATAAGAACTATTGTCGTGACCGCTCATCGTATCCAGTAGTGGTGCACCACCACTACTGGCCTCCGGCTAAAAGGACGTCATAGAACAACGGCGAACACGTTTCACCGTTGACAATCAGAACCTTTTTCTCAACATTCAGTAGCAACCCTGCTCACTGACATGTCGGCTTCGCAGATCAGGCAATAAGAACTATCACCATGAAACGCTCATCGGTCTCCAGTAGTAGTTGTGCACCACCACTACTGGAATTCGGCGAAGAGGTGGTAACCAAACAACAGCGAACACATTTCACCGTTGACAATTAGGACCTCTTTCCATCATTCAGTAGCAACCTTGCTCACTGACATGACAGCTTCAGTATGATCTTGCAAGTGGCCACGCCACCTCTACAAGCATCACACCAGCAGCATCGGCCGGGGCCGATCTCTATCGCCCCGACACGATGTAACAAAACATCTTCTTTTCCAGCGATGACTTATTTCATGCTGCCGAAGATGATGGGGCGAAATAGCGTCCTCAAGAGAAGGATGCCTTTCCAAGGTCTGTGGACGAACGCCTTTTCCAAAGGTCTCTAAACGAATGCCCTCTTCCCGTTCCGCGAGGTTTCCTAGTCCCCGCGAAACTTGAGGCCCTAGGGTTGTTTTATGGCCCGGACGTCAGGCCTCTACCCCGCGATGGTCGTCGTAGGACGGCCATGTGCCCGTCGTCCCTGCTTTGTTAGGGTGAGTCACTGGGATTTTCTAACATTCGGAATCGTAAAGTAACAAAGACCGGTTAAAAATAAAGTTTAACAAAAATACGGTCTCGAATTTAGGGTCGGGGTAGGCCGTAAATAAAAAGCTCCGGGGATAAAATTTAGAAGCTGATCACTGCGATCGTAGTATTTATTATTAGAATTAATTGCGTGTTTTTTAACTGAGGGGAGATAAAGAAAGTATTATATCGGAACACGTTGTAGCAAATAATATGGTTATCTGTTCGAACGTTATATTTTTTCTTGTTCATGGCAAACGCGGAATACATTTTTTATATAGGAACTATTTTTTAGGAATACGAATATGAAGGAATTTTAAACTTTGCGCATTTGAAAAGTGGCCAAATTACTTTGTGGCATTCAGGACAAGACATTGAACCTGTTAGTAACTGTAGAGAAGGAAAATTATAGTTAGGCCAGTGGTTGATAAACATTGCAAGATGGCGAAAACAAGACCGATCGACCTTACGTTCGAACACGTCATTTTGAACATATCCTCTTTCTCTCGGTGTGCATCTCGATTGCCACGACCTCGGTTATCGTGTGTCGAGTAGAGGTTTTGTCTTCGCGGTGCAGAAATCTTGTTATGCCATCGATGGATCGATCCGCGAGAAATAAGAGGCTCGATATAAGAGGATCGACCAGCGAATTTGAATTTTAAATCGCATGGTGTTTTGTCATCGCTCGATGAAAGATAATCAACCTTTGCACTTGTGCATCCAAGTTTAATGGAACTGCGGATTTACATTGTTCCATCTGTTTCCGTTCGTTCATTTAGCTAATTACTTTTCTACTTTCCATTGCGACTTTCACTATTTTATAATCATTTTCTGATTTAATTGTTTTGCTTTACTCTATACCGTAATAGATTATCGGTCGAGTGTTATAGATGTAGATGTACTATTCTACTCTTTGATTTACTCATACTACTGCCGTCGAGTAAAGACTGTCTACTCGGTAGTTTATTCACAGGTCCTCTACCTCAGGTGTATTACGGAATGTACCGTCTACTCTTCAAACTAGTCACATTCTAGCTACTTTCTAATTTACTAACTCCGTATAATTAATTCTATAAATAGCTCCGTTACAACTCGATTCCGAAATGCATCTACCCCGCATTCTGTTTTCTCGCGGACCAAGTCATCAACGGAAATAATTATCGAGAGAAAGAACAACAGTTATTCCGAGTGATCGATCAATGGTTGTATCGCGTTACGAACGATCGAGCGTGAATTCGATTGTTTACAAAAAAGAATGACAGTTGCATTGTAAAAAGACACTCGATAACGGAACTCCCTTTTTTCCCCCGCGATAAAACGCGAATTTTTACCGAATGCGTAGAAGACAGAAAGCGAGTGTCACGGGTCAAGGGAACTTCGGTGATAAAAGGCAATGCGTGTGACGCTCGAGGACACATGCATCGAGATGCAGATACTCGTTCGAGCCAGTTCGTTCTCCTCCTGCACCAGTTTCGACGTGGAAAACGTTAGCGCAAATCGAGAAAATAAAATGATATCTCGGGGCTAATTAACCGTTCTTGCTACGGAATCTATTTAATGAGATTAATCGTTCTGATAATCCTTTCATTTCTCGATTGTCTCGACCATTACTACTCGAATCAAATGGGTTCCTGTAATATTTTTGTTATTTCTCGCGTTTACAGTTTACTCGCTTTTTTCTTCATCTTCGACTGGCTCCTTGATCATTTGCTCGACGAAGAACGGCTTAATTGACGCGACCTCGCTTCGATTCAATTCGCTTCGCGTAAAAACCAGAACGAACTTGCTTGCAAGTACTCGCATTAAATAGCTCCTTGATTAATTCGTATCGCTGCAATTTCTGCGAATTTCGTACCGAAGATTACGCACTTCTGCATCTTTCAAATACCCGATAATTCAATTTTTCCATAATGTCTTTATTTAATAACAAATTGTAGTTGAAGCTATACTTTAGAGCTACATATACTACAAAAAATTAACAAAATCTTTGATCGACATAATTGATGGCCAAATATTACTACCTTAACTGCGTATAAAAAGACAACTCGAGACCCAATGAGTAAAAAAGACACAAGAGAGTATCCGAAGATTCCACGTAAGATTTCCTGAAATACCAAGGACACTGCTGGACAAATTACATATGACCATAAGAGCCGATCATCCTCGCGCGTGTCTGTTGTTATTCCACTATTCATCGATCCAGATGCAAACAATCGGTAAATCGCATTTGCGCAGCTGCCTTGAACGATAGCAATTTCGCACAATCGTCTCTCATGGGATTACGGGGTGCACCGACATACCATCCTGTTGCTCCATCACGGCTTTGCATCTCATCCATTAATATTACAACATTTACATAACATAGTTCACGGTGGCTGGCAAGGTTTCACCTCATAAGCCGATGATACACTTGCTATGGGAATTTTCCAATTGGAAAAACAAATGTTTATCGTATTAAGATCGAAAGACTTTAATCTTCTTTGTGATGAATTACATCATATTCTAATGAATTTCATACACAAACACATAGATGTATTTATCTGTTTAATACTTCCTCGAAATATTCCTAATTTCTATTACATCTTTTTCGAATAAATTCTTTCGAAGAGATCGTAACGGGTTTTATGGAAATGCAGAATAATATTATCAGAGATTCAAGACGTTTAAAGAATCTCTGAATGTGAAAGGCAGGAATTCTATATTTGGATGCATCTTCTTTCGTATCTATCCTCGTGGCAGAAATTCCTGTCTATTTTGAAGAGACCCACGGACTTTATGACGACATTCACGGAATCCTCTGCAATATTTTGTCGATTTCCATGGGAAGAAAGGTCAAGGTGACGGAATTGCAATTAATGAGCGGCATTAATATGCAAGATGTGGAAAAGAATGACGCATTTCTTTGGGTATTAAATATTCATGATGTTCTTGTGCCGGTGGGACACAAAGCTTCGTCAAACATTGCAAAACAAAACGTCTACAATTACAACAGCACACTTGAATGCATAGTAGTGCGTGTTAGCTGTGTTAGACTTAGAACTAGGTTTAGATTAATGAAATCCCTCTAGTTTGCAACCAAACAGTAAACTTTTTCGATATAGCCTGTAATATGTGCAATTCAACGAGATCACTGAGGCTGCAGTTTTAATTTTCAATGAAGATTAGCAGTAATTATTTCAATTTATCGAACAATCGTTAACGAACTTTGATAACGTTTGAAATTTCGATCTAAAATCTCAGAGCTCGGTGAATCTCGTTCTCTCGTAAATGTCACTTCCGAAACACAATCCCGAAATGTTCCTCAGCCTTTTTCCCCGAATGTTAAAGTTCAAACAAATAATATGTTCGACGTTTACAGGTACTGTCTATGAGCGAGGAGCTCAGACGAGCTCTGTACGCGAACAGTGCCGTCTCGTTGGACAACGACATCATCATACCCGACCTTGTGGGCACCACAGAAATCCTCAGCGACGAACACAGGGAACACCTTTGTCGACATTTACCTGCCAGGGCAGAAGGCTATCTCTGGAGTCTTGTCTTCAGCACCAGCCAACACGGCTTCAGTTTAAACAGCATGTACAGGAAGATGGCCAAAATCGAGAGTCCTATTCTGTTGGTGATCGAAGACACCGAAGGAAACGTGAGTTACCTTTTGGACCATAAAAGACGGCTGTTTTATTGCGGTACGATCAGAAGCTCATCAAGTATTGTTCGATTCCAGGTATTTGGTGCGTTGACCTCATGCGCTCTGCACGTGAGCGACCATTTCTATGGCACGGGCGAGTCTCTGCTCTTCAGGTTCACACCTAGGTTCCAGGCTTTCAACTGGACCGGGGATAATTTGTATTTTATCAAAGGAAACAACGAGAGCCTTGCCATCGGCGCTGGAGAGTAAGTATATTAATTTATTGTTATGGTTACAGGAATTTATTGCTCTTGGACTTATCCAACTTTGCTGTATCATATCACAAACTTTGATCGTTACGTAGGACTTCATTAATTTGTGTACACTCTTTAACATAATATTTTCTGTATTATCAGTGGCAAGTTCGGACTGTGGTTAGACGGCGACCTGTACCAGGGTAGGACACAGTCCTGCAGCACGTACGGGAACGAGCCTCTGGCACCCCGAGAAGACTTCGTGGTGAAGACGCTGGAATGCTGGGCGTTCATATAGGACACGGCCTCGTACTCGTTGTCCACGACTTCGCCCTCGCCGCAGCCTAATTTGACCTGAATTCGAAATAGTCTCGTGCGCGGACGTTTGTCTCGTCCCCAGGAGACGATCACGCAGGAAGGCTACTACCGTTTCTAAGAGACATTTTACCCGAGGAGATTAAAAATGATTAACGGGATTATTTCTCACCGGTTACCGTCGATAAATCCTATAACACACCAGAGACCCGACGCGTATCCTTAGAAGACACTGCTGGATTGTCGATTGTGTACAAAGATGGAAATGGAGATGAAGTTGGTGCGGGAAGATTGGAACGATGGAAGAAAATGATGAAGAGAGTCGAGACGGAATTCGAAGGAGCCATGGACTTACAATTAAAATGATCGACACGTTGTTTGATCGTCCTATCTGTTTTTTTCCTCTTTTTTAAGTTGCCGTATTTATTTTATTTTTTTATATGTATACATACAAGCGCGCGCATATATATAGTTATATACACAAATGTGTTTCGTTGAATGAGTTGTTGCTCGTTTTTATCTGAGTTCGAAAGAAAAAAGTCAAGTCGAAGGATTGGCCACGATTGGCGAAGAATTTGTTTGTACGCGAAGATGACGTGGCGTTGCCTTCGAACTAGTCGCGAGTATGATAACGATAATAATTATTAATTGTATCGATAACGATGATTCTGATAATAATGGTACGTCGCGTTTTGACGAAGATTTTATGATCGTTGACACGATCGATGATCGCGAGTAAGAGAGAGAATGAGCGGATAATGTATGAATGGTGATCATGAAATGTCTCTCCTCGAAAATGGGGAGAATCGATGACGCAAAAGAATAAAATGACAGACAGAGAACCACAAATCGAACGATGATGATGATGATGATGAATAACGTTGATGAAAAAAAAACATAGAAAACAAAACCACGATACAACACGACACTACGAGAATGCTAAACTAACCGTGTTTGTTGATGTGTAGATAATGTAGATAGATGAATGTAAATATATATATTACGAAAATCGTGTTAACGGTAAAAAGATTAATTTTAATGAAACTGCAAAACCGGTATATACGATACTATGCTAAAAGCAAGAAAAAAACCTAAAAAAAAAAAAGAATAAACAAGGAAACTACTCATCGTTGCAGAAGACACTGTTTGTGTAGCTCGTCAACACGCAAATATCCCGAACGAATACACGCTGGTTACCAATGTAATACACACACATTCTGTACACACACGATTTAACAGCAGATGCGTTACGATACGATGTAATAATAAAAAAAAAGAAAACGAAGTCTAGGATCTGAGAACATAAGTAGCTTTAAAGAAAAGGAGAGTTCGTGTTTTATTCGAGGTTGACACACTTGATTAATGACCATAAAAACAAGGTTGAAAAACTAAGATACACATCAGAAGAAACAAGAAATAAATAAAGCGACACGTTTGCAAAGGCTGTTATGTTTTGTGGAACGTGCTTATTCTATGGTGTCTCAATTGACCACAACGAACACACACGCCTGTGCCTCGCTTCGCTCTCTTTCTCTCCCTTTGCTAGAGAATATACGTGTACGTATCATTACTGGGTGCAACGTAGGCTTCTTTTAGTTTGGGGTGAGGAAGGAGTCTCCTATCATTTTAGGGTCCTTCCTTTTGGCATAAGTTGCATCGGTAGAATAGCTGACGCTAGTGATAGAGATGGTGGTAGAATAGTTACTATCTCTCTCGCTTTCTTTCATTTCAATGTATCAGTCAATTACTCTACCACCTTCGACCCATTCTCTTAAATTTCTAAAAGCTAGCGTGTTGGGTACTAGCGCTGTTCGATCAACTGCTACGCCCACATCAACATAACCTAACTACAGTACCAATGTAAACCTAATCAAACTACTCTACCATTAATCTTCTCTTACCGCATCTTTACGCTAGCGCCATCTACTCTACCGATGTCAGCTGAGCCCTCACTGGCCCACCATCGATGGAAGCCTAAATTGCACGCGACTGTACACTATAATATTTCTATGGTACCATCGTAACGGTCCTGCTGCGTACGATCAGAGCCTGAGGGAAGTGTTGCGATTACGCTTTGCCGTTCTATGCGAGCTTTATGCGAACTCAGACAATAAAAATACAACAAAATGAGCAAAGATTTGCCAGATGGTTATATCGAGTTTTTGTTATACAAACACACGTTTAGTAGTTGCACGCGAGCATCATGATTTGACACACCAAGTGTGTTTGCGGTAATGAACGTCGAGTTAGAAAATTTTGAGGAACGTTGTTGTACAAAGTTTTCCTATGTCGCGTGAACCGTTTCGCTCGGCTCTGATTTTATTTTTCATTTTTTTGCTGTGCAAAACGTTGTTCGAGCTGTTGTGATCTTTTGCGAGTTACAAAGAATCGATGAACCGTTGCTTGTAAAGAAACCATCGTTTCTATCGCTTTGTTAATATTGTTAATTTTGATGTAAAGATCGTACGAAAAGGATTTAACAATTACGAACGCAAGTTTTGATAGAGGATTTTATAAATCGACTGCGAGCTGAGCTACTTCGTGACCGATTCAATCGATACTGTTTTAAGAAAGGATTTTTCGAAAACCAAAAAGAGGAACGTCCTTTTATACCGTAGCGAAATTGCACCAGTTAGCATTCCTTCCGTTGTAATAGGAACACTTTCTAACTCGCGTCGTTTCTACGATTTTCGACTTTCGTACCTCTAAACGACTGCTTTTAGAATAGAGCAAAAGCCTCGAGAGAAAAGCAGCGTAATTTAAATTGTAAGAAAATGCGTGAATAACGCGGGTTGTGAACGTAGAAGATCGAGGTCAGTCTGAAACAAGAGAATCGTAGATCTGACAAGGGAAGGATACGATATTTGGGACACCAATGATTTAAATTTCACTCAATTGTGGAGGACATTATCAGAATTAAAAATCTTTTGGATTTCAAACTTTGATATTCTCGGATTTCGAAATCTGAATATTTCAAGTTCAGAAACTTTCGAGCGTTTTAAATTTCTGAATCCCCAAATTCCAAGTTAACGAATCTCGGAATTCTCAAATGTTCTGAACATCATTGTTTCCCTACTTACGTGACCCCCAATATTTGTGCACGCTTTGAATCAGTGTCCCTAACATCGTACGCTCCCCTTGTGAATGAGTCATACCCGGTGCACTGGTTACAAAACGCACTTACCAAAAAATGACAGAAAAGCGAAAGAACTAAACGAACAATTAAATAATAGAGAAGCTCAAACAGATCCACACACACGTACACAGATACACGGGAGAAGAATGTAGAACAGCCTGGAAGACTGTGTATGAAAACCTGTAGCTTTACCGGCTTCATTTTAGGATAGTTTCGAGGACACCGAACCTCAATTATAGAGTTGTCTGAAACACCAAATTAGCGTCTAGGTGTACTCTTGTGATACTAACGAGTTTAAAACAAGATGTCGATTCGCTTTTTAGAGCCGCGTCACTCGGGGTTCAGCTTGTCGTTGAAGAGCGAAACGCGCGACTCTCGAATTAAAGTATAGCCCAGGACAATACGAGAATCAATGTAAAAGGAGAAAAAACAAAGTACTCGACCGTAATTATGATTTCCTCTTTATTTTCTGTTCCGAGGAGAAAAGGCTCGCCTTTCGAAGATCATTGGTATAAATGTAATCGTTGTAACGTGAAATAAAAGAAGATGTGTGTTTGAGAGTAACATTTTCTTTTGTTTGTTCGTTTGTTTCTTTTTCTTGCTACTTCGCGATTTAGTCCTCTCTGTTTCCTATGTTTCATTTTTTTATAAGATTGATAATTACGTGTATCGTTGATAAAAATTGAATTATATCGAGACACTTCTATTGTTCCTTTTAACGCTAAATGTTCCATGTATCGTGTACACTTAACAATTTGATTTTGGTTGTTGAAAATTATCGGAAGCCTCGGTTTCATTTTAAGTTTATCTTCTACGCGTGTATCGAACGTAGAAGCGTTCTCAGCACCTGTAGGTGTCCAATCGAAAATATATAAACACGCTACTGCCTCCACGATGAAAACTCCTATACGTAGATTAATCTATGCCACGCGTTGAATCCAGCGAACATAATTGTTAGGAATCACTTGATATTCGATTCGACTATGGAATCGTTGATAAGCTCGATCGATGTTACAAGACCTTAGGTAACGATCGAGGGATAGATATGCGTTCGTGTACATTGCTGAGTATAAGGTTCGCTAGAGAAATAATGATTTACGGGAGGAAGATAACTTTCATAATTGGTCAACCGAAAATGGTCCCCTCCGCATCGTTATTTTCCATAGAGGAGTCTAATGTTCACTAGTGTACACGAAAACCTAATCAGCAAAAGTAATGGAGAAACATTAACACTAGAACAACTCAAAATTATATTCTGTTCCATATTATTTTTAAGTTTCCTATACTTCGGGGCTGAAATAAGAAATTTGAAGTCTACCATTTTGTATCAGGTTGTTCTAGCGTTAAGAAAATGGAAGAAGAAAATTGGCCAGCTCACACGAAATCGTAAATGTGTAATCGCAAACTCGTATATGTATATGTATACTCGTTAGCTAAATTAGTGGACGTTAGGCGTTAAATTAACACGAAATCGAAGCAAGAGACGAAGTAAGCGAGAACAAGCTCGCTGAGACGAGGCGAGACGAACTTTCCTGGTAATACACATTGTCAATTAGATTCAGACTGATCGCAGGGATTGACGAGGCATTAAGAAATTCAATGTTCTTCGGTGTTTAGCTAGAATACTGTTGTCGTCGTCGTCGTCGTCGTTGTTTGACGATGATCGTCGATGTTTGACGATGATCGTCGCCGTGACACGATATCCTGCGTCTCGTGAACGGTATAGCAAGACAATTCGAATTTCATCCCGTTAAAATTATAGCTTTTCTTTTTATATAACTTTTTAATGATATTCAGTATATGTAAAGATAATTGATAATTGTTTTTACCTTGCTTGAAATATTGTTCGTTAAACAACTTTTTTTCTATTAGTTCTATTAACTTTTAGTAATTCGATTCATGCCTAAAAATCGAAACTTCATGCTATATCGTTTTACAACCGTAGCCCGTTTTACACGTAGACAGCTATTCGTACCAGAAACGAAAATCCGTAGAAAAGTAGAGGAACATGCAATCGTTCTCGTCTTGTATCCCACACACACATAATCAACTTTTAAATACTCAGATACTTATGTACGTACAACTTTCATATCCTACATACAATCAATACGACATTGTAACTTACAATTTATACTTCATATTTCTGATACCATTTAACAGCTATCTACATCGCAGAGCACAGCGAGTGATACGATACCTGAAAAATCGAGAGTAAATATTTTTGTGGAATCGATGACTCTTCATTTCAAGATTCTGATGATCAATATATATTGTCAAAACTATCAAAATTTCAGTATCGTCAATAAACATTAACTTTAACTTTCCACACATTAGTTTAAAATTACTGAGTTCCTAAATTTTTCAGTTTCTCAAATTATCAATAAAAATCTGTTGTACAGAATATTCTGTTGCTATAAATAACTTAACGATTTCTTTAAGTATCGTATCATAATTTCTGACCTGTGCTTAACTTAATATTTTTTTTTATAGGAAACCATGTTTTTTATATTAATCACATTGAAGTACAATTTGTTGAATAGTACGATATACGTACATAAGACTCGAATTTCCAGAAAAATATTCTAAAGGAATTTTTCCACTGTTCCGCACTGTGTCAAAGGAACGATTTCATTCTAGCTACACTAATCAGGAAAACGCGATATCCTCGTACGATCGAACAAAAGTATCACAGGTACTTCAAATCATTCTTCGTTTATCGAATAATTCTTATCGCTGTGTATACAGAGTGGCAGGAAATAGGTCAAACTTTGGTGGCGTATTTTACTCGTAAGAATGGTGCGTTGTTAGAAAAATGTTGAGGAGAGTTCAGTGATAGAGCGAGCACAAGACTTTACATTTCGAAATTTGCAACTTTTTAAATTTAGAAATACGAATTTGGTAATTTGGTAGAATACGCTAAAATATCCTGGGACCAGTAAAATATGTCATTGAAATTGTACCACTTATCTGCAGTAATTATAATCCCTGTCACTCTGCGTACTAAAATAATACACGCAAAACTACAGCTTGGTCAAAAAGCAGACACACCATCATAAATCACGATCTACAAAATGAAAAAATCTTATCCTTAACCATCATGGTCGATAACCGAAAAATAATTCATCGAAAGAAAAAACATATCCTTACGGTTTCGAAGCCCTCGCGTAGAAGAAAAACGGGCCAACCGATAGCCAACCTGTTGTAACAGTTGTTAAATCAAAAGAAAGGGTCCGGGGCTACACAGGGGAGAACAAAGACCCTCTTGAAACACACACAACTCTCTGGACCAATGAATTTTACACTAACTTAACTAATGTACTATCGCCTAAATCGCTATTTAACCGCGAAAGTGATCTCCCCGTCTCTGGATCCTCTGAAGCTATAGGAGAGACGCATCAGCAAGCAAACAATCATATTCCTGAGGTTCTCACCAGTGACAAAAACAAACAAAAATACACCCGAACAAACACACTGTGTGTCTATCGTAATCGTGTATTAGCCAACTGTATACCGTGTACGTTGAATTACACATGTGTCGAACGAGCCACAATTACATAACGAGCGAAAGGATACACGTTCGTGAATTGATTTGATCACTCTTCAAATAATAACTGTATTCAACAAACTTGCAACTGCATAATTTGTATAATACGACACCTTTATTTAGTATATCTTTATTATCTTGGCCCTTGTTTTCGGTGGCGTAAGGTGGCTAGGGTGAGATTTTTTTGGGATCACTTGATCGTGAGAATGCAACGCGCAGTGATGTATTGCGGATATAATACTTGGTGCTTTGTGTACCACGCGTGGTGATTTAACACGCTACCATAAAACGCATGACGACCTAAATGTCCTCGATCAAAAATCTCGTGTCAATTTCAGTTTTCCCATTAGAAATATAAAGTATCGTAAATATTTTTATAAAATATTATGTTCACCGAAAGATATGAGCATAATTGTGAACGTGTGTCCTTTCAAAGAGGTTTCATGTAAAAAATCATGATCCACCGAGATCGTCACGTTTCTCTACTCTCACATAATGGGAGAGCAAATAAGTGTGCGTGTGTATGCATGTATATAACGTATCTATACATATACAGTACACAGTGCAGGGAGCGTGTATGTGTGTATATACCACGCACGTGTACATTACGTATACATATTATACATACGAGTAAAGGTTTAGCGTCGCAGCGTGCATACACGGCAAACAAAACTGTAGCGCGAACGAGGCCACTATACATATATACATAAATATACATATATACATATATATAAATATAAATATAAATATATACATACGAGTAACGATTAATAATTGTAACGTTGTAAAGCTGTGACTAAAGGATGTTTCGTGACTGTAATGGCTGCATCAGAGTTACTAAAAGTCGAGATATAGAATACCGAGAAGAGAAATGGGATTTATTTTTTTGCCAACAATGAAACGAAGCGAAATCGACAGTAGAAATGTGTAGGATCAAGAGAATACGAGTATTTTGCGATCGAACGTGCGACGAAGCAAAGTACTCTGCTGCTAATGTTACGTGGGACGTTATGTATGTATGTCAACGTCAAAATAGTCAATCTTGTTCCGTTTGCAAAAAAAAAGAAACGCGGATCACTTTGGATGCGTGTGCGCGTATGTACGCTTAAGAATTGTGATATGTGTGCCGCGCACATGCATATATGTATACAAAAGATGAATATACAAGAAAAGATATTCAATAAAACGCCAATATTGTGAAGAAAAAAAATACTCTCGCGTTTGTTCTTTCTATCGATATATTTCTCGCTCTGTGTCGTCTATTGCTACCTTTTTACATTTAATTTAACTTAAAACTAATCGATCGTACGTTTATCTAACTAGGAAATTATAAAACAGATTGTGACCTCGAGGTCATCTTCGAGTGTTTTTGAAATAACCTTAAATGGTATAATTGTTGCATTCGTCGTGGAAGCATAACGCTTTATGAACGCTTATAAATACATGATGCGTCCGAGAATCGGTTGCTTCGACTTGAACTTGTTATAATTATATTTATTTTTTACTGGATCCTCGTGTTACAAATGGCTGTAGTAAGATTCGTGCTTCACCATATCCCTCGTGATCTGATCCACTGCTCTGCAGCCTGTAAATGAATAAACAATGAGTAGAAAGTCGTCTTTCATTGAAACGACATGCAAATTGTGAAGTCGCTACTACAGTAATGTACCTGTTAATGCAAATGCCAAGTCAATTTCCTTCCTGAAGATTTCAAGTACGTGTTTGGCACCTTCCTCGCCACCCTGAGACAGACCCCACAATAATGGTCTGGCGGCGAATACCTGAAACACGAAAAAAAATTATGAGACTTTGATAACATTTTGAAACAATTGAAAGAAAGCAACAAAAGTTGAAAACGTTACCATTTTCGCACCCATTGCAAGCGCTTTGAAAACGTCGATTCCTTGCCTCACGCCTCCGTCCATGTAAACTTCTATTCTTCCCCTTACAGCGTCTACTATTTCCGGTAATGCTTCGATCTATAAACGCGTTATTTTTATTACAATCGATATAATAAATCTAAATACATAATACGTCGAATAATACTTTATGGTCCGAGTCAGGTATTTAAAAATCACGTGATACCATAGTCACGTGGTGACGCAGTCACATGACACAAACTGTCAAATTCGACAGTTCCGTACAAGTTCTAACGAAGTGTAGTACGAATTAAAGTAAACGCGATCGCATTAATCGTTCAAAGTGTGGTTTAAAAGTGTGATTCTAACGATAATGGGAAAATATTAAGTTTTATCTGTAAAAAGAGAACAACGAACCGTTGCTGGGAGAGTGTCAACTTGACGTGCACCATGATTTGAAACGATGATAGCTGCTGCCCCGTGTTGAATGGCCAACTCTGCGTCTTCAGCGGACAGGACCCCCTTCAGAACGAGTGGCAATTTTGTAATACTACAAGCAGAACGACAAATGTGAGTACCTTTTTTCATTATCGATCGAAAACTGTCAATGACCGAATAAATTTTAACCTTTTGAGCCACGCGATGTCTTCCCATTTCAAAGAAGCGTCGAACAAGTTCATGACGTACTCGCTCAAACCAGATCCATCCTTCGCGTTTTTGATTTTATTTGACATTTCTCCTTGGAAATTTCCCAATCTAAAGATACGTGCTTCAAATTATTTTTCTGTTTTTATAAAAAGTCAGTATTTTATCGTGTAAAAAATTACGTACTTCAAATGTGATGGGAGCGAAAATTTATTCCTAATGTCAGCTCGTCGGTCACCAAACAGCGGTGCATCGACTGTTAGGACGAGAGCTTTGAAACCAGCGCGTTCTGCGCGTCTAACTAAATCTAATGTAACGTTACGATCGATGTATATGTACAATTGGAACCATTTTATCGCGTTTGGCGCGGCTTCTGCAACTTCTTCGATGCTACTTGTTGATATGGTTGAAAGTATGTAAATGGTACCGTACGCTTGAGCAGCTGAAAATTAAAAATTCGATTCTATAAAGAATATTATTTCAATTATTAGTAGCTCGTTTTTAATAAAAAAGTCGCGAAGAAATTAATGATTTATAATACTTTTCATACCTTATCTTAAAAAGTTTGTACATTGATAAAGTTATTTGCATATGACAATGAATGCAAAATGATTTAAAACGTAACATTAAAAATAACTCGATAATAAATTACGTGGCAATAAAGTAATTCGAATAATTATGCATTATCCTAATGCATTATTCATGACCTAACTCAATAGCTCTAATGTAATCCTGATGTAACCATATTGTATATAAACAAATTGATGCTAATGAACTTGCGCGAATGTTAAGTCGGGTTATATTGGATATACAAAGTGTGGGCGGTATGATTGAAAGATGCACTTTTGCATATCGAATGCAACTGGTCATCGAGAAGTGCTTCGATCACGAAGGATCGATCCTCAGTCGACGCGTGGCAACCGTGTCTGCTTGGTGTGTGTTGTCGTTACGATTTACCTAAACGATTTTGACACGTAGATAATAACTGATAAGGAATCGTAGTCAGACAAATGAGGTTAGTGTTATGTAGATAGTTAGTTAAGCGGGTGGCTAGTAGCGGGCTTTCACATAATGATGAAAAGAAATGTAGTAAGCCTGATAAAGTTCTTCTTTCTGGCGGCTTTTACTGTTTTCCTGACCGTTGTTGTGTTCCGCTACATACGGACGTCACCTAACCATGAATTTCCAACACCGGTAACCGCATATTTGGCAGTCAACACTGATAGTGCAAGAAGCTCGTTTGATTCGAGGCAGAATATCAAGGAACATCTCCATCAGGTACGGGTTAAAGACCTGCTCATTATCGGCAAGGTTGGTGCAAGTGAAACAGGTTTAGCAGTATAACTTAACCTTCTGCATTCCATGCAGTACCGTACGATGCTTTCTAGAACCTTATGCAAACGATGCGTCATTTAACATCGTGATTGATCTCGCTGCTTTTACCTTGAACATGGCATTACATTCATAAATGTAAAATAATACTTTTTGACAGGATACAGATGGAAAAATAGATTGGCACGATTACAAACAAATTGAAGAAGATGCAAAGAGAAGCGGAACAGGTGAACATGGAAAGCCAGCATTTCTTTCTCCATCCCTTGATTCGTTGAAGGAAAAACTGTATCAGGTGAATGGTTTTAACGCCGCGCTCAGTGATGAAATTTCAATGAATCGCTCTGTACCTGATATTAGACATCCAGATTGTAAAAAGAAGAAATACTTAAAGAATCTTGATGCAGTCTCTGTGATAGTCTCCTTTCATAACGAACACTTTAGCACTTTAATGCGTACTTGTTGGAGCGTTATCAATCGTTCACCAGCGTCGCTTTTAGAAGAAATAATATTGGTCGACGATGCAAGCACCAAGGTGGAGCTGAAGAAAGAGTTAGACGATTATGTTGCTCAACGCTTGCCAAAAGTGAAGATCATAAGGTTGCCACAACGATCTGGATTGATTAAAGGTCGATTAGCTGGAGCAAAAGTTGCTAAAGCTAAAGTACTTGTATTTTTGGACTCTCACAGCGAGGCAAATGTAAATTGGTTACCACCTCTGTTAGAACCCATAGCACAAAACTACAGAACTTGCGTGTGCCCTTTCATTGACGTAATAGCTTATGAAACATTCGAATATAGAGCTCAAGATGAAGGAGCTAGAGGGGCTTTCGATTGGGAATTGTACTATAAGAGATTGCCATTATTACCCGAAGATCTTAAACACCCAACATTACCATTCAAGAGTCCAGTTATGGCAGGTGGTCTCTTTGCCATAAGTGCTAAATTTTTCTGGGAATTGGGTGGATACGATCCAGAGTTAGATATATGGGGTGGTGAGCAGTACGAATTATCCTTTAAAATTTGGCAATGTGGCGGTGAAATGTATGATGCTCCTTGCTCAAGAGTGGGACACATTTATAGAAAATTCCCTCCTTTCCCTAATCCAGGCAAAGGAGACTTCTTAGGCAAAAATTACAAGAGAGTCGCCGAGGTATGGATGGATGAATACGCGGAATACATCTATAGACGGCGTCCACACTTAAGATCACTGGATCCAGGAAATTTGACAAAACAGAAAAATTTGAGAGCCAGGCTACATTGCAAGCCATTCAAGTGGTTCATGGAAAACGTAGCATTCGATCTTGTCGACGTATACCCTCCCATAGAACCTGACGACTTTGCATCCGGAGAGATTCGTAACATGGGTGTACCGGAGTTATGTTTAGACGCGAAAAAAAGAAAAAAGGACGAATTGGTGGTAGTCGATATTTGTATGAAAGATAACTCAAAAATCATAGGGGAACAAGAGTTCAAATTAACTTGGCACAAAGATATCAGACCAAAAGATCGCACAGAATGTTTAGATGTTTCTCGAGGAGACGCAAAAGCTCCTGTCAGTTTGTATCCTTGTCACGGTGGCCAAGGAAATCAGTTATGGCGGTACAACGTTGAAAAACAGTGGTTGATGCATGGCTATTCGTCGAGATGTTTAGACACAGACCCAGCGAGTAAAAAAGTGTTCGTAACAAATTGTGATTCGACGTCTCCTACCCAAAAATGGAGAATCGAGAAAGTAAACATGAAAGCTATTAATAATTGGGACAACGTGGGACCGAAACGACACTGATTCCTCGCTTTTTATTGCCGCCATTTTTTTAGCCCTATTTAAGTATCTAACTTCTAATTATCCATATGTACATAAACGACATATGCCCTACTTTTATCGACTAGTCATACGAAATCGTAATTTTTGGGTTCACTTTTCTCCCCATCATGATACAAGGGTCACGAAGTTATGTTATATAAAAGCAGATTGTACTTTTTATCGATCTTATAGTATCGATGAAATCGTTTTAATATCGTCTGTACGAAATGTAAATATTGTATGAACCCTCTGTTGTGCCTTACACGTATAGCTGCATTTAGAACCGCGTGTTAACTCCATTAATTACTTTACGAAAAAGTAACTTCGCTTTACTGCTCAATTTTTATTTATTATAGACCTTTTTAGTTCGATTTTCAATCGACATTATATATTTAAGAGCGTATAAGAACTGATCGAATCACGAACTTTCTTTATTGCCAAATTTTTAACGATTTAATTAAGTCTATCTCGATGACTGATGTATAATGTATCCTCTTTTAATCGTTCGATTCAACGCGATACGGAAAATAAAATGTTTCTCGTAGATCGCCGAATATTCTTTTGTGCAATTCAAATAAACAAAAAATTCCATTGAATGCACTGTTAAGTAGTAATTTTAGAGGAATAAACTGCGACAAATTCTACGATTTTTATACGGTCCACTACGGTTTTTAATACAGTTTATATTATACGGCGATTGATTTTAGCACAGAATCGAGTTGAATCTATATTTTATAGGAAATTATGTATCTTTGTTCTATTTTATCGGGATAATCTCCGAATGATTCGACTGTGATCGACGTCGATTTTACTGGTTCCAATGAATGGTTGCGCTTGTTATTGCAACTATTTTTGTAAAACGTTTGCATAATTTAATAAACATTTTTATAACACGATGTGATCGAAAAGCATTGTTAAAAGACTACCTTAACATTATGAGATTTGAAGAAAAATATAAATTTCGTTGAAAAATATTTTCGTCAACTCACCTCTGGCGTTCGCGCATTCACCCTCGGGATGCGCCATGCGTTGCATAGCCGCTGGTGCGATTCCTAACGGCATCAAGATTTTTTCACCCAAAATTGTGGTGCTCAAATCCCTTTGTGATACATCTCTCAAAAATCGGGGCTTTATTCTGTACCTGAAAACCATTTCCAAGTTCTGTTAGCCTAGGATCATTAACGCGCTGATAACATTTTTCATTATATCGCACATGAAATTACTACGCGTTAGATAATCACGCGTTCAATTACTACGCGTCGAGTTACTATGTTTTGATTTGCCACGCGCCAAATTACGCGATATATGTCCGCACTAAATTACTCATTTAATTACTGCATACCGAATTACCGAAATAATCAGATGTTGGACTATTCGTTAAATTACCACGCGACAAATCACCGGTCACTTTGTCATTGTTATCACTTCATTGACTGAGAGTCGCATATCCCTATGTGCAGTAATTCTCCACAGTTCCCTTAGTGTTCAGCGATATATTTCTATCGAAAAGTACCTAATTTCCCAATAATAATGTTCATACTCACTTCTTGAAAGCCTCGGTGTTGAGCTTCAAAGTATACTGGTCTCCCGCTCCGGAATTGTAATAATCCCTGATGGAGGGTGTGAGGTTGTTCTGAGCATGGTTCTCGAAGTCTTGTATGCAGATGAATTTTGACATGTTTGTGTCGGTTAAATAAATTAAACGAAAATAAATAAATCGGTATCGAACGGGTATCGAAAGGAAATTCGGTTGAATACTGATCTAGCGGAGAGAGATCGTTACCCGAGCGTGCACCACGCGGTAATGAGGAAAAGGCGGTTTTATAATGTAATTTATTACGTACGATCACAATACGAAAGTGTGTGTTTTTGTCGTGTGTCTCGATTCCTGCCAGCTGATCGCGCGAGTACGAAATGACTGAGGTTCGCGTCGAAATCGCGACGATAACCCCCGTGTCCACTAATGTGCCCGATAAAATTGTTTGCTCTATTTAGTTTCGTCTTATTGACTTTGCTTTATCTCCGCGGAATTAATGAGATACTCGTGTGCGCTTCGCCACTGATTTCCGGAAGATGAATTCCACCCTTTGCGATACGTCCAGCGATGGACACGTTTTAATTGCAAGTATATTAATACACAATAACTTCTTTGTGGTGCTTCCAAGAAACTATGCAAATATAAACTCGTTACTTTACCATTATGAAATAAATCGGGCGAAGAAGTAGTATTTGAAGAAGAAGTAGTGATATCAATCTACTATTTTTCTCCGAGATAAAGGTTATCGATATTACGCACTAGACTCAATCAAATAATTAGGAGAGCTACTAAGCTTGATAAGTAGAACCTATTTCATTCTTTTGAGAAACAGAAATTACTTATCGTATCATTTATTACAAACTGCTCGTAAATTTTCTCGTTGATATATCACCATAAGGGCTGACAGCACCACTGTCATTTTTTGGTTTTGATCATTTGTTACAACATAAAAAGTTATTACATAAGTAGATTGTCAGTGTCAATGTCGAATTGCGTTAATCAAATGAGTTAATCAAAGTTTTTGACGGTCAAATGTGTTCCGTCGAATCTGTAACTTTTATGGTCGCGTGTAGATTAAGCATTCCTTAATTAAGAGGCGGTAGAAGGAATGCTATACATCCTGAATATTTTACGCGAATAAAATTTGTTTTCCTACAGAATTAAGCAGCACTCGAAATGTTTATCGAAGAGAATCCATTCCACTTCAGGTAAAATCTCTAGTAATTCCAATAATTATGTTTGACTACGCTCGTAATCAGTACGTGCTACAATACATGAAAATACCTGGATATAAAACGAACAGAAAAAGCCAGCTATCGAGTTCAGGAATGTGTGTTCCAATCTCTAATGTGTCAACTCAGTATTTTATATCAGATTTTCGGTGTTTGGTATCGAACTAGGAAGTCATGCCGAATGAATGAACAAAAGTGTCTATTCGTAAAAGTGTATATCGTTATCTTCGAATCAGGGCTATTGAAATGGCACGTTCTGTTGTTCATCTGATTAGTTTCGTTCGATTAAATTTGATCGTCGCGTCGGTTTTTCGCGATAATATTGCGTTGTTGAAATTATGTAATATAATTGGATCCACAACATGTTTCCATTTTCTGCGCTCGACGCGACTGTAATCGATCGCGGAGGAGAAACGTTATCGCGAATCATGTGCGAAACGTCATATGTACGTAAATTAATAATCCTATCTATGTTTGAACGGTACTCCATCCGTTTTGCAATTCTCGCTGATCTTGGTTTTTTGAGACATGTTTGTTTCAAAGTTTAGTTTTTTTTAAATATCTATGAAACCGTTCGAGCAAAGAAGTAAACCATTGATCGTTAATTATAAACGTTTATATAAGTATGTCGCGAGACAGACATGCTTCTATTCTCATATTCGTATAAAAAAAAACCTTTGAGAAAACATTGAAAGTTATACACGCATTTGAGACCTCAACGAGCCAGTTCGTTGACATAAACGTTAATGGGCCACGCCATAATGAGTCTTTAACGTGCTTCTCAAATACAATAGTGTTCTGTGTCATTTTTTAAAAGGAAAAAACGGGAAGAAACGCAGTAATTCCGTTTAAATCGTACTTTATTACATTTCTGTTAGAAATAATACAGAAAAAATTGTCAGGGGCGACGAAGCTTTTCACGTCGGAGACGCACGAGGTGAATAGTGTCGTTCGAAAGAAAAAAGAAAAAAATGGTAAGAGCCCCAAATCGTACGAAAGTCTGCGACCCGTTAGAGGGAAACACCATCGATAAACGCCATCGATTCGATAATATACAATCTTAATTAATATTTATATCATTGAACGTCTGCGAGGGACCATAAATATATATAATAATAGGGCGCATCGATTCTATTTCCCTTTCTCGTAACGCATCCGAAGGATCACAGACTCCGTTAACTCTTGTTTGCGATTCGACTTCGAGTAAGTAAAATGCTCTCGTAAATGCGCCGATTAGAAAACCAACGTTATCGTGGAACCACGTGATCGGTCAGCTTCGATGCATTTCTCTTTAAAACGTTATTCGATTACGCTTAATGGCGTCCTCTCTCTTTCTCTTTCTTACGCCCATTCCCCTAGCTATTTTCCCTATGGGCTGGGCTACTTAGATTCGGTAACAGTGTCAACGTTTCGATAGGCACACTGCCTTCTGAATATTCGCGAGTTTCCAGGTTTAATTTAGGAAATCGATCTGGGAATTTCGAGATTTAGAAATCTGGAGGAGTCTCGAATCTAGATTCGAGGAGTTAAGAATTTGGGGATATAGGGATTTAGGGAATTGAAAATTTGTAGATTCAGAAATTTGGAGACTAGGAGATCTTAGCGATCAATTTGGTAACAGGAAAGATTTCTAAATTTAGGAATTTGTAAATTTTGGAAGTTCGTAAATCGAAGAATTCACAAACTTTGTAAATTTGTAAACATGAATGTCTAATACGTGATATATGAGGTATCCTGTGTCCTACGTCGTTCGCACGAATATGTAACAGTACGATAGTGAGCTACGTAACCATAAAAAGTGTGCGAAATGGTGACTACCATAAGCTTCCGTTTCGTGCGTAATAGTCTCGCGTTCGAAACGTAAAGTTCGTCTGTGTAAACGAACCGGATTGTTTGCACGGAGGCCGAGAAGTTCGAAGTTCGCAGACTTCTGTTGTAATTGATAACCGAGAGACGATTGACTCAACAGATCGGTATCGTCGTCGAATCTATTCGCAATCGTTTCACGCTTCGAACGGATGAATGACGAAAAGGCTGGTTTCTACACCGTGGGTTCAAGGGTGTCGTCGCACACCGATTTATCTCGATTCGACACGAAAGCGATTTTAGTGCGCTGACGAACGGACTGCCCTCGAGTCCACCGTACTCGAAAAATCTTCTTTGGCTTCGTCCTAATATAGGACAGCGTTGAACGAGTATCGTATTCTGTCGAATTGTTTCGTACTTTTTAACGAGATCACATATTAGATTGACGCGTCGGATTTCGAAGATAACATCAAAGTATCGAACCACTTATGACATGTTAGCTTAGAGCTTAGAATTCAGCGAAAGTACCTGCGTGGTTTGATGAATATCAAATGGCGCCAGTTGTACAACGATTTCAGAATATTTGTAATGTAATTTGATGACATAATGTACCGCTTATGATACATCAATTTGAGGCTTAACGAAAAGGCTTGTAAATTCGATAGTATATCTAATATAAAACTACTAATCTCTTTATAATCCCTTTGCGTATTATACAGCTTTCTGATAATCAGCCGATTCCTATTAAAAAAATTTATGAGAAGCTTATGTAGTCAACTTCGTTAAGTCACAAATCGACATATCACAAATACCATTTCATGACACTTTCATGTCATCAAATTACATCAGTTTCGATGTTTCGAAAGCCTATGCACCAACCTAACAGTTTTCTGAATAAAAAAAGAAGTAATTAGAAATGTAACATTCTTGTAAATTGAACGCAATTATGGTCGTCGCACTGTCTGTTGAACTCGTATCACCCGATAAGAGTAGTTGCAGAGTCTCGTTGCAAAAAAGTGTCTTGTCTCTCTTGCTCTCGCTCTTGAACTTTGCGAAACGGTGCACGTGTAATTATAAAAAAAATCGTAAACAATTCAATTACGCAAAGAAAACTCGTGAGCGGCAGAAGAAAGAGAAAAAAAACGAAATCGTTTGTCGGACAACGCAGATACGCACTTTTTACATTTTTTGAATCCGCCAGCTAGAAAATCCGATTGGCTCGATATCGACAACTTACAGACATGTCTGGCGAAATTTTTAATCGCACGACCGTTTTTTCGTTTATCATGTTCGGACATTCGTTGAACGAGTGGTGGACAGAAAATTTTTCCAGTCATCGAGCCATCGTTTCTTTCAACTTTACATAACTGCCTCTTATCTAAGAACTAAGTTCCAGTACGATCATAGTTATTTCGTCATTTCAACGTCGATTTCATCGATCGAATATAAAGGGAAGCCGATCCTTTGCATAGAGTTTGTCGCCGCAGTAGAAACAGACGTGCGTAGCAAGACGCAAACTTCGAGACTACGCTGTACCTTCTTTTGCGATAGTTGTACGCTGCTAGATGCACCAATTTCATTTTTTAAAATCGCTTTTCGTCATCACTTTTTATATATCGTGTTATAAAACAATATTCTGAAATATTTTTCAGTTTGTGTTAGGAAGAAGTATGTCAGACCGAATCGATTTAGATCAGCAATCTCACTAATCTTTGTAAAAAAATTGCGACATAGTATTACAATCGGTTAATTAATCAGTGAGTAATCGTAAAATTCAAGGTTCCACGAAAAAAGTAAATTTTTTATCCGGCGATTTTAATCTAAAAGTGATTTGATAGCAAAAAAATGAAATATCTGTACGAAAAGGTCAAGATTACGTCGGAACATCGAAGTAAAAACGACGACAAGGGTAATATCGCTAAAATTCATTGCAAAACTTCGGACGAAATGTATGTTCAACTTTTTGAACGAATCAAATTTCAACAATGTAAAACTACCCTGAGCGAATTACAATTTATCGAGTAATTTTATTATCTACTTTCTGACGAGGCTCAGCCTCGATTTTATAAATTTCCGAATTATCAGATTCCGAAATTTCTGAAATAAAAAAACAGTTAAGCTGTGACTTTAGTTACTGATCTTACGAGATCTTGGCAAAAAATTTAAAAGAACGAGCGACATTTTAAATAAAAAAAGAGAGAGAGAAAGAGAGAGAACTGTCGAGAGATACACTACTGAATCGAACGAGGTTCGTTAATCTCCTTTATTTAATTTTACTGACTAGAGCGTCGATCGAGTTAGTACATAAAATTACCGTTTACAACTAAAAACTAAACGAACATCGACGAGGGAGACTCTTTTTTCTTTTTCACATTTCGAGAAAGTTCATCGCGAAAGATTCGAATTATATTATATATTTCTTCTCTTTTCCCCTAATTTCTCGCATCGTTTCTCTATATAAACTGTACAGCTGTAGTACCCTTTTGTTTTCTTCCTCGCATGCGATTGCCTTTGATTTTGATTCGTGATGCTTCTCGATCAAGAGGGTATTCTAGTACAACCGATCAAAAATTTCCCCATTTTGTAATTTCTCAGAATCTCGAAACTGTGTTTCTAACATGTCACCGTAAAATCTCGTGAAAGAACTAAACAGATTTCAGTTTTCGAGATATCTTCCTCTAATTTATTTTCTCTTGCACAAGTTTCAAAGATATCTATACATCAAAATGTTCGAAACTAATGAAAAATAAATTATTCCAACCAGAAAACAAACGATAGACTTTAAAGTCATTTATCACAAAACGATATTAAATTTATCGCACACTTTTGTAACTCTTACAATTTTTAATACAATATTTTATAAAAATTTGTAGTATTACTTTAAATATATATATATATAAATATACATGCAAAACTTGCTACGTTTAATAATCTCTTGAATTTAATTCTGCAAGATCGTATCGGGGTCTACACTAGAATACCCCCTTAAACGTATCAATCGCTTTCAACGTTTAAAAATTTCTTGCTTTTTCTTTTGGTTTCGATTTGTCGTTGTTCTTTTTATTTTATTTTTTTTTTTTCTAATGCTCTTCGCAAAAAGAGACACTTTATCGATATTTTTTGTTCGTTTATTACAAAAATCGAGCGCGTTTAAATTTCGCAATTACCGCCGCAATGAAGATGGCTGCGGATGTTGATCGACTCTCGTGGATCCGTCACTTCTTAGCACACATATTCGTGATAATAATAATTGGTAAAAGTAGTGCACGCGACAAGTTCGATGAAATCACGATTATTCGAACAATAGTTTTTTTTTTTTCTTTTTATATCGTTGAGTTAGAACCATGTGCCTGGCTGTGTGACATTTCGTGTCCTCTTCTATATACCTTCCATCATCATCGGTCGTTCGAAAGAAAAAACGAAATAATAAGAAATGAGAAAAAAGAACAGAGGAAAATAATAATAATAGACGAACACTATAGTAATCAGATACATGACACAAAACATTCGAGGTTCGACCACTTAACCCATTAATACCCAAAATTGCTATGTTTTTTATAATTATAAATTTCTCTTTCTTGTTAATTATTTAATATCATAAATACTTTATTTGTTTCAACACGGTCGGACCAAGGGAGCGGAGTCCGTCTTTACGTGCCGCAACATCGAGGATGCACGCGATATCGCGTGATTTAAAATTTATAGTACACGCGATACCGCGTGATTAGAAAACTGGAATAAACACGATTTCGTATGATCGAGTTTTAGAGATCGTACACGCGATATTGCGTGAACGGTAATTTTCTTAACAGAGCTGCAAAATGATAATCGCTTATAGATGGAACAAATTTGAACGTTATTTGTTCGCTATAAACCCTATACAGGTCTGCGTGTTAATTACCCGCTTGCACGTGTTCTGGCCTATATTAGAGAGTACTATCTTGAAAATAATATATTTGTCGAGCTCTGGGAATTAATGGGTTAAAACGTGATTCTGATTTGTTGAAAATATTCAAATTGTTCATAATATATATCATACAAGACGTGTTTTACGCTTACTTTTTTACCGATATAATTAAATTATTAAATAATTATAGACTACAATTCTCTTCCGTTAACAAAAGAATTAGAACTTAGCATACAGTCTGTGTACAAAAAACCAGGATTTACAATAGCGTTTACTAACCTCAATGTATAATAGGAATATAATAACGTTTTTTTTTATCACATATAAAAAGCAGTTGCATATGTACATGTCTGAGTAAGATTAGGTACCATTATTATTATTATTAATATTATTATTATTATTATTAATATTATTATTATTTTAATCGATAGAGTAGCTATTATATAATTTGGTACACTGTTTAACGTGGATATTTGATAAATACGAACAATAATCAATATGTCGTTTACTTCCTGGTGTCTTGACATAGTCGTTGGTTTTTCTCATTTTTGTTTTTTTTGTTTTCTTCATTTTTCGCACGAATTCCTATATGTATACACACACGGTTCGCTTCGCACCCTCCATTATTTACGTGACTTTTTATTTCTCTCTTTACTCCTCTCTTTAGTATTATTTATATAATATCTATATATATAACACATGTTATTTAATAAATCAAGAGCTATGGCCAGTTCATAAATTAAAAAAGTGGAAAGGATCGTTCGGTTTGCTGTTCGTTAATCCTCCTGTATCTTCGTTTATATTCGTAGCATGAGCGGTATAACTAATAAAAATAGTTCCTTTCTTACCGACACTGAAAATTATGTATGAATTGCTTTACACAATGAGCGCGAAAAGACCACAGCCCTTTTTATTTCAACGATGAATCGTACCTTAGAACGATACAAATTAGTGTTTATTATTTTTGCTTCCATACCCTTTTGTGTCGCTACCGTCACGCTTTCTTCAATTCCTTTTTTGTAAAAATTTGGACTTCGAACAAGGCTTATTTTCTTTCTCGCGGCACCGCGACTCCTTAATTACTCGACAATCAAACACAAAAGACTAAAGACCGACTTCGTGTCTGTCACACTTCGTATCCGTTGCTACGATCGAAATTAGAAATATCCTGTCGTTAGCAAGCTTGTAATTCTATTCGTACAATTGTTTTGCACCGCGTGATTGAATCTCGCGTAGCGCCATCAAATTCTTGCTTACAATTTCTGCACGAATAATCAATACGTAACAGACAAAAAGACATAAACGATCGAATTCGAAGCAATAACTCGATTCTTAAATATCTACGTAAAAATATAAACGGAGTCGCACAATATCGAAGGCACAACTCTTTTTTTTCTTCAAATTGGATGAACTAAAAGAAAGCACAATGGGAGGCATCATTGGTGTATGTTATATTCTTAAGCAGCTCAAACCACTGCATAGAGAAGTGATTTTTTCTACTTTTTCTTTCTTTCTTTCTTTTTCGTTTTGATGCTCGACATTAAGTACAAGAAAAAAATTTGTTTCCGTTTGATTCGTCTCGAAAGACTAAAATAGTCAAATATTCGTAGATGCATAATTTTCTTCCTCTTTTTGTAAATCTTTAATTACGTCTATTCCGATTAAATCTGAAGCTGCTTTATTATTTTTTTTTTCGTTTATAGCCTTATCTTTCGGTCGTTAGAAAGTTTCATTTTTTAACTTTTTATTAGTAACAAATTTACATAGACATACGGAGGTTATGTTCTTTTTCTTTTTATACCTTTGTTTTCCATTCGACAGAGACGGGATTCCATAACACTATTCGCTATACATTTTTACAATCTTATCGTATTCTTACACTCAAATTTATACGCATCGATCGAGGCAAATAAAATTCTTAGCTAAATCGCTGAATTCATTGCGTTCCGTCAAATCTCTTCGGAGGATTTTCTTCCTACCAAAACGTCCCTCTATTAAATTCGAAAGCTCAAATAATTATATAGATGCGAAAGGAAATAATAATAATAATAATAATAATAATAATAATAATAATAATAACAACATTAATAATAATAAAACGAAGGATGCACGAGCGTTAGGAGTAAGAAAAAACCACGATGAGAATTGCTTGCCTCAATCAATACATAAAAATTCTGTTCTTATTTAGTAATCGCCTGTTGTTTTAAACATCGTTCTTTTTTTCCTGAATGGCGCAAATGGCTATACCACTCGTATCACTTATGAAAGTAACTGTCCACGGTAAAACTGGCAGATTGAAAATGCAAGTTCGTGTATACCAGTTGCAAAAAAAAAAAAGAACAAATCTGCGAGTTTTATCTGTACAGATGTCTCTATCGTTCGACGCCAAGCTGCTGACGCAGTAATATCGACAAACTCTGAAACGTTTTCACCGGGACAGCAACTTGGTCGAACGTTAATATGTAGCGTTCATTATGGATCCTGGCTGGTATTTTGCGATGACTCACAGTTCTGTGGACTATCTAAGTTAGGAGCTTGCGGAAAGAACGTGACCTGGGTGAACAGAGGGCTATGAACCGGAGACGGTCTAGGCTGAGTTCTAGCTTGTCGTTCCTCTTGCGCTTGTTGTAACAGAGTTACGTCAGGATAACTGAAAAGAACAATACACGATCAATTTTTAAGTATGGTAGAGTCTTGCTAATACAACCCTAGAAGTGGTTGTAGGTATCGAAAAAACTGTGAAAAGGGATATACGAATGCTATGCCATCACGAATTTGACAATTTAAAATACTTTTATTTCGAAATCTTCCTATGTACTAAAAAATCTTACTCATCAGGTCCAAATATAAAACCACGTGTTACTCGTCTGCGTGACTGATATTTTACAGCTTCTTCCGCGCAATCTTCGGTCGTGTCTTCTTCCATTTCGTGTTCCTCGTCTGGATAAAGCTCGTATGCTCTCTCCAATGTTTTCTTCGCGCTGTTACTACGCTCCAAAATATATCCATTCGTAGAATCGTTAGACTGTGCCGGTGGGGACCAGTTACTGTAGGGCGAAGCAAATGGAGCCGCGGATGCATATGGTCTCTGAAAATATAGTTAACGTTATTTATTAGATAAAACAGATTTTTATATGGTCTTACAATTGTTAACGTTATTTTATTATACCTTGAGTTCTTCGTGAAGCCACTCGATAGCATGTATCCATTTTCTCTTTAATTCAGGACTGTGATGCAAAAGTTCATGCGCAAGTCTACACTTGTTGAACAACTGCACCATGCATTTAATGCACTGATAAGCTCTCTTTTGATAATGATGTTTACTTCTCTGTATTATGTCGAATAAACCTTCTCTCTCTTCTGGGACGCCTGCAGATGTTTTGTAATTGTAAATTTATTTAAAAAAAAAAGAACAATAACATAAATTTTATTTTGTAATGTTCGTACCTTTAAGTGCATTGTGAATACGATGCGTCTGCCATGAATCTTCCATTAGAAGCATGGCGAGTAGTAAATCCGTATGATGTTTCAACTCGTGCGTAAAGGCATATCCAATTTGCCATAATAATTCACTGAGAACTGTTCGTGACAACTGTGGATTTTCCCAACAACAATATTGTAATAATTTTACTATGTCTTCGGTAACGTTAACGTCAGCGTCTTCGATCAGTTTCTTCATGTAACTGTGAACAAATATTACAAATCAGTAAGTTTCCTTCTTATATTTTTTTATATTATTTTATGCAGTAAATTTTACCTGTTTTTAACAAAAAGAATATCTGCTGCCTGCGGCTGAATAGGCATCAGATATTCATTCTGACATGCTGGGTCACCATATGGATTTGGTAAAGGCGCTACTCCTGACTGTGCATGACTCGAATGTGCTTTCGATGATACGTCACAACAACGTATCAGCATACTAACTACTTGATGCAATTTAGTTAGCTCGGGATAGTGGTACTTTATTGTAGGGCCAGGTCCTTCGTCAATTGCGACCAACATAAACGTAACCGGAACATTTAACTACGATAAGAAATAACGAATACAATTCACGATCTAAATATTATTTATAATATAGAAGTGAATACAAGTTACCTTAAGCAACTGAGCCTTTTCGGCAAGACCAAGCGATGCATATGTGTGAAACACAGAGAAATAATGTGACAGATGACGGCCATGATCTGAGATTTCACGATGAAGTAAAGAAAGAACTGCGTGCAACAAATGATCACTAAGCGTGGCAGTTGGATCCAAGAGTATGGCTGAAAATATGAAACAAAATAACATTTATTAATAATTGATATTGGGGAAGTAATAATGAATAAATATATTAATTAGTTATTAATCGCATCAGAACAACTATATCGAATGTATTAAATCACTGTTAAATTTTTAATGTCTATGAGATATGTCAGAGACTCCCAAGTGGATCCTGACCTATTGGAGAATCGCGTTAAATAAAATGGCAGAATTCGCAAAAAATTGCCAATTAACTTTCGCAAGTAGGTCGGTTCATAAAAATTCAGAAAGCCCTGATATATGCGATGAATTGAAGTTTCAGATGTAATTTGAAAACGTACTTGGTGCGTTTAAACTAGGCGGCACGCATGGGCCATCCTGCAGGGAAACGTGTGCAAGAAATACCAAAATTTTGAGAAAAGCTGTTCGAACTTCAGTACTGGGACAGCTCAAAAGGTACTCGCAAAATCTAAGGACAATGAATGAATTTTTGTTAAATATCAACATTTCCTACATTCATGCATATATACTCAAGAAAACGTGGTACCTATGTGGATGATTAAATAACACGTTATGAGCAAACCAGGACCGTACTGATTTACTACTGCGCAAATGATGACACACGATATCATACCAGTCGGTTGCGTTACCACGCAATGTCTTTTTAGTATGGAATCCCGTGTAGAATAGAAATCTCGACGACAATTGCACAGAGAGCATTGCGAGTTCTTCTTGCTCCGGGCTCTACAATTACAATTCAATGTGTTTATATCCATTGAAAATTAACATCAAATAAAAATCCAACAAATAAACTTACAAGTTTTTCGTTCATATTTTGTTTGTTAATGTTATGAGAATTACAAGATACAAGTTTCTTGATAAACTGAAAGTATTCTGCGCTAAACTGATTTCGATTATGCATAAACTTTATATTTTGCTTTCTGACACTGTACTCGATAGCTGGAGGCATTTTCATAACTCCTAGTTTCGTATCTAAAAATCAAATTATATTGATATTAAGTAAGCATAATGTTTAACTATGAAATGTGGACAGGTCTGACCAATACTTACACAATGATAATTCATTAACACTTTTCATTAACGAATTTTCTTCTACATCTAATCTGGTATAAAACAACATATAAGCGTTCCACCATCGTTTCTGTTTGCGATAACTCATCCGTTTCAGCATGTGATCAAATACTTCTCCTATATAATCTCCGCCGAAACACTGAGACTTCATTTCTTCCTCTTCTTCCATTTTACATTCTGTAACATCGCCATCATCGAACTTGTACCATTTAGCGACACCGTCGCTTTGCCTAATGGATGAATATTAAAATTAATTCTCTAGTAAAAATAACCAATGACCGCTTACAAACAATTGAATTACCTATGCAAAATATAAGAATAGTAATGACCACCGCTAGCTTGACCACTGTGCACTACAATGCCAGTTAACTGATATTTAGTACACGTTCCTTTCACTAATTCTTCGTAATCACAGTCTATAACTTCTCCCTCCAATTTAGCAAGTCCAGAAACAGTATAAGGTTCCATATCCAAATCTCTTGGGAATTCAAAATAATCATTAAATTTTATAGCACAAACTCTTTCATAATCGTATTCGAATCTTTTTAATTGTATCGCTAAAACAGGTGGCAACTTCTTTACACATAACCGTTTTACGGTCACAACCTGAAGAAAACAATTTATTTAGACAACGTCCTTTACGGTAAATCGACATTATTGCTTGAATGCAATTTATATGGTACATCGGTAAAAATTTGATATACATAAATATACCTTTTTATTACATTTGTCGCAATGATAAGCGTCTGCACCTTCCAATAATTCTCCTTTCACGTATTGTTCAAGAGATTCCAGTAAATTACTATGATTTCTGATATCCACGCTTATCAAACTGAACGGTTCTTCCTTGGAATATCTGAAGACAATGTAATGCGGTATTACAGTTTACCGAAAAAAGCAAAATGTAAGAATTAAAAAGGTACCTATGAGGGCAACCTTTGCAGATTTTCTGGTCACTATATGAACCACCGAGAATTTTGCTCATTATTTGTTCATGACCTAGAGCTTTTAAAGCCTCATCTAAGCTTTCCACCAAGCTCATGAAAAATTCTACTGCATCCTGCTGCTCTCTAAGATTTACAGGTTCACCTTGAAGTCTACAAATAGCGATAAGAAAACATTCATGAATACATTGCTTTAATTGTATGTACATTAATGAAGAAATTCGAAGTTATACTTACTTAAAATGTTTCCAAAGTCCTCTGGGTATATAATATTGCAATTTGCTATAAGCTAAATGACCAAAGATAGCTTGCACTTGTTTCAAAATGCCAATATTGTATTCTTTTCTAGATTCATCGGCTCCGCATTTTTCTTCGTTCGTGTCGTTATCGTTTGCTTCTATCGTTTGTTCTCCCTCGATTCTCTCCTCGCCAGAAAAATCTTCGTTTAAGTCGGTCGCTGCTCCCTCTGCAGCCAGCAATCCGATTCTTATACTTTCAACCATGTACAATTGTTGTAATACTGAGTTCATGTAGCAAGTTGCGCCTGCATTCTTCAGGCCTACAAAACCTTTTAACGGCCTAAGCCCAACCGGTGGTAAATAATCCCATTCCACTAGCGGTTCGTCCCTCTCAGAGTAGAACATATCAGTGAGCATTGTGACTAGAAGTTTCATGTTAGGTACACAGCCTACACAAAGACCTACAAGTAAATCAAATGCCGCGCTAGTAGATTGTGGAGTCGTGCATACTGGACTCGCTTGCGAGGCGCTTAGCTCTCCAGTGCTACGAAGTTGCAGCATAAGACGCGATGCAGGGAATACAAAATCTTCGACCAGCTCTTTGATTAAATTAGCCCCGTGTTTCTCGTCGGAACCAAGCTCGTATTTTTTACTGGGAGGTAAAAAAGCCAACAGTTCTTTAGTAAGACCAAGATGACCTTCGAGGACAGCTTCGTCGACTTGACTTTCTCCAGTTTCTTTAACGTTGTCCCGTACTTTCTTCAACCAGGCTATCTCGATATTCAGCAATGAGTCGGCCGTCAAAAGAGGACATCCAGACATGTGTGCATAATTCAATAATCTACACAAAAGCTGGAAGTACTCGTGGCTCTGTTTCGCGTGTTCCATAACGGTGGTGTTCAAAACATTGAAAAGTAACGTTATCGCAAATAGCAATGGCTGATGACCACTGCTGTACCACGTCGATATAAAAAAAAACTGTTCAGCCGCGGCCATTCGAACCACCCTTGACGTACTCAAGAGTACGAGATCTATCAAAAACGTGTGCCACGTGTTGTCCCTTGATAATGATTCTAATGCAGTTGGATTCAATACCAAGGCGATTGTCAGAATTTCCAATGCCTCCTTACATACTAGTACGTCATTATTGTCCGGGTTATTTGATGTTTCCTTCTCTTTCGTTTCGTGAAGCGTGTGTAGCATCTCGGCTGATGCGTTTATGTTGTTCAAATTACCCGTGGACGCCGCCCATGCTAGCCTAATTATGGCACGAATGGTAGCTACGTTAGGTAGCTCCCAGGATAGGGCCTGCATAAAAAGCTGCCGACATTTGTCCGATTCCGTTCCTACACATAACATTTGACGCGCTAAATGTTGGGCTAGCTTTGCTGCCACGTTCCTTAACGTAAATTCCGTGTTTTGATTGGGTACACTTTGCAATGCCTGTTTCAAAACTGCCACCGGACCTCTATTATTGTGAGTATGGTTATCATGATTCTCAGAGTTTCCGGCTTGCTGCACTTCGTCCATTACACAGGCCATCACGTTACCTATTATCGTCAGTAAAAGTTTGCATAATTTTAACACGGTCAGATACGCTGCCCGTTTCGTAGTTTCATCCGCATTCGGTAAAAATTTATTTTTAGTTAACATGTCGAGAATAACACCAGCCTCGCCGCTCTTGATGAAATTGCACTGAAACTCAAATACTCTCTCTGACATTGGATCTAATGCTGGCATTAACAAACTATATAAAACCTGTAATAAAAATGAATTCTTTTGCATGATCATATTGAAAGTACAAGGAAGAACTACAAGTGTCATTTTAGGAATTTTACCTCTAAATTGTATAAAACTTGGCTAGGACTTGCAGTAAAAAATAAAGCATCTACTGTAGTGTTCTGATCATTACAAAGAGCATTATCTATATTATCGCCATCTTTACAATGACCAAATAACCACTGTAACCGTGATACGGTAAGAGTATCTGGTGGCACCAATTGTAGAAGGTTTCGTGCACCGTCGCGTAATTGCGCGTGTTGAAGAGTACATCCAAGATCTGCCAATTGAAAGAAAAACGTAGCATACTGCGATCTTTGGGACATAACCTGCAATGAACACAAAGTTACGGATCTGTAGATTAATTTTTATTTTATTATACGCGTGAACAACGTTTAACATACCACACCCGGTAGGTTATTTTCTGCTTCTACATTTGGCCCATCATACTGATGATGTGGAGAACTAGCGGAACTATCTGAACTACTATCTGGTGAACTTGGTATGTTGCTGTTTACTTGGCTGAATTTTGCAGATAACAACTGTTTAAGAAACAAGTTATTTATTATTCGTTTCGTTATTGCTATATTTCAATAATAGTCAGTGTTCTTAATAAATGAATACCATTTTATCCCTGAACGGTGGTTGAGAAAGAAGTTTTCTGTCATCTGCAGGCTCCAAGGTCTCTCCATTAAGAAATAAGTCGACTTTTACATTTGATTCGTTCGCTTTAATTTTGCGCAATATTTTTCGCCTTAACGAGCCCAAAGTGTCGTTAGTATGCGTGAATATATCTATGTCGTCTACACTACGATTTGCAGGATTTGCAAAACGAAGTATAAAAGATAGATGCTTCCCACGAGCTGCTCTGTAATCAAATAGAATGAACATTTTTATTAAGTCAAAATATACATATCCTTTCTTCTTATATAAACAGTTATACCTATGCAATGGCAATATTTTTCGTTCTTCTGGAAATGCAGTGTCACATTCATTTATATATTCTTGTAACACCTTCATAACACGACACATTTTCATAGCTTCTATTTTAATTTTATTTGACATTTGTTCCTCGCGTTCCTCCTTTCCTTCGAGGCATACTTTACTTAAAACAGACACCGTGTCATAATGTGCTTTCAATCTATCCATACATTCCCCTATATATGTTACATGAAACGCCAAAACCGATGACTGAAGTCGTGGTCCTAAATTAGTATTTACTTCTTTTAATAGTTCTATGGCTCGATTCGCAATCTCTTCAGGACTGTTGGTTACAACCTGTGTAAACATACAAACAAACATGTATAATGAATAGTTATACTACTATTATCAAATGGAAATGATTAATATTGAACTTCACGTACTCGCCACAAGTATTCTGTACCAATTAGGTCAACGTCATCCATAAGAAACGTTCCTTTTTTCAATTTTAATTTCCCCTCCTTAGAATTAACAGCTTTGAAAAATCGTTCGTAGCACTTGATACCACTTTCCGTGAGTAATGTCGGATCCAGTTGCAATATATTATTTTGGAAAAAATCTTTGTTTATTGCTGGATCAAGATCTGGTTCATCCCCCATTAATTTCGAAAACCACTTGAAGCATGCTTCACGGTCGGAAACAAATACACCTTGCTCTGCTAAACATTGCCAAATTTGTTCAGCTTGGTCTGCGCATAACCAAAGCTGACCATCCTATAAAAGATACACGATGAATTAAGTTATAAACATTTAAGGCTACGCGTTAATAGTATAAAAACAATTATGAAATACCTTTAACAAGAAACGTAAGAAATAAAGCCTTTCTTGCACTTGCATAATGTGATTATAGCGTCCATCGGGCATATAAGTATTCACATCAATGTCCGGATTTTCTTTAACTAACTGTCTCATTTTATTCATGTAATTCGTTAAACTATTTGTCACTAAAATTACTGCTGAGTGTTGCGCTTGAAGCCGTTCTATAACATCTTGCCTGAATAACAAAAGTCAACAATAAGTAACAAACAATATCAAGTCACTTTTTTAACAAAAGCATACCGGTAATGATGATTACGCTGATTGTGACATGAAATATGTGGATTTAGTTCGTAAAGGCAACATATATCTCGAATTAGTTTCAACGCAGGTAAAGCCCATTTATCGCCATTTTTTAATTCTTCCACGCATTTGTCCAACCAAATTGTTTTCTGAGCATCTCTTTCTTGTGAGCACGAATAATCCAGAATTTTTACATGAGCCTTTAAAGCTTGATCCATGATTTCTGTAGGTACTTCATCGGAATGAGCCAAATTCCAAAAAAGAGTTAAGACCTTATGTGCCATTACTCCATCCTTATCATCTTCTGCTAGTCTCCGAATTAATTCTAATAACTTTTCTCTTTGTTTCTTATTAGCAGTCTTCCAACTCATCTAGAATAAAAAAAATTGTAATCAAGTTATATGTAATAACCACTATAGTAAAAACAACTATAATTGTTCAATAATTAACACCTGAAAGCGTTCGAACAAGTGGTCCAGTTGTTCAGGACTAAAATCCCAAGCAAGTTTAGCAAGTAAGTCATGAACATTTTTTACAATTGCTTCGTGCTTCCCAGCTTGCGCCGCCCAAACAGCGTCCAAATCGTCTAAAGTTAATGCTCGTTCTTTTATAATAAAGCGTAAAATCTTTTCTAACTTTTCAACGTATTGAGGCTGATGTAACGAATCTCTTAAGACGATCTCTAATACTCCGTTCTCTTTTATCCATTTCTATATAAACACAAACAATTTCGAACACTCATTAATATTTATCGATAAATTAAATTTACATACATGTAAAAGTTAATAAAAATCTTCGTATAATTTTTAATCTAAACTTACAGCCATACATTCCGCAGTAAGCCATTCTTCTTCTTCAACAATCGCATTTCGATGCTGATAAAAACTAACAGTGGTGATTACTTTATTCACTTCATTTAATGCATTCATTTTCCCGTTAAATGAAGAGATTTGTAAAAGTCTTAAAATCATTTTTAATCGCAAAATTCCCAAATTTTTAATCATTTCATCTTGATGTGGTACTCGAGATACTAAACATTTAGCTGCTTTGATTATGGCTGATATTGCATCATTTTTTGATTCATTTTTCGCTTCCTTCTTTAATTGTTCGTCGGTCAAATTATTCAAAATTATAGATATCATTTCCTGCATATTAAAACGTATAGCAAATATTATTAATTTAAATGATACCAATACTTGCACAAGATACTTACCACGATAGGCATTAGATATTTAACAATCGTGTGAACTGTAAGCAATTCATAACATAAACCAAAAGGTCTAATCAATGCATAAATAACTGGTACTGTTAAATTTCGACCGCTCTGAAATCTAGAGAGCAAAATTTCAAATCCATTAAGACTTCCAAACCTATAAAAAAGAATATAACTTGTTACATATTGAAAAGGGAATCGCAAAATTGTTATTAATATTATTATTAACCTATTTATAAGATCCACTAGCCAACCACGAGGACTTCTTGAATCAGCAGGTGGCCGTGCATAAAGTTCTTCATCGGGAATATCGCTGCCAGGGGGAACAGTTTCCGAAACTCTTGCAGCATTAAATGTGTGAAATCTGAAAAAAATGTTAGTAATCAATTTGGATGCATACAATGTATGTAACAATATAAAAAACAAAACACTTTTTAGTTATACAAAAAGAACATTCAACTCACTTGTTACTAGGATTAAAAACCATTGCTAGCAAATCAAGAAGAGGAAACCAGTCCTCCTCCAATTTCAAGACACATAGTTCCACTAACCGCTCACAATTTGCATTAATACAATTATGAATATTTAATTTCCAACTATTTACTGCATCATCAGTCAGTATTTTGGTAAAAGAAATTGTGAGCCCTTCGCGAAAAAAGCGCTGACATGCTTCACTTTGTACATCAATTCCTAAACAAAATAAATATGCATATGTTATTATAGAAATACATATACATAACTTACACTTTTATCGATGTTATCAACTGTAACAACCTTTTTTACAAAGATCGATACTGGCTTGTAACAGGCACTCTAACTCTTGATCTGGTAGAACTGGTACAACCCATCGTGGACTAGATATTTTTTCATGAAGCATATTGAGTTTTGCGACAGGAAAATCAGGCTCCCTGTGAAGCTGGTTACTATCCTCTACTGTAGATAATGTATCATTGGTGCATTCTGTTTGTACCGCATTCTCCGTGAGTTGAAGTCCTGACATTGTGTCAGCTAACTGCTGTGGACCAGGTGGACTATGCATCTTTTACACACAATAAAATAAATCATGATCAGATACAAATCAGATACAAAGATTGTCCTAACTGACAAAACTATAGAGAAAGTTTATTTATAGTCCTATGTAATAGTACATACCTGTGTACTTTGCTGGCTGTCAGGAGGGTCTATGCCTACTCCTTGGCCTCTTGTGGCGATCGTCATTTTGCGTGCTCTTTGCTATATTCCAATTGTCTCAATACCTCTTGGTCCAATAATCACACCACCAATAACAATCATCCAACTCATTCACTGACATTAAATATAATTATACCCTAAAGGCCTTGTTTGAATAAACTATACCTACATTATCTGAAACAAAATAATTAAAATTTTACAAGATATTGAGATTTACTCCAAAAATATAAAAAAATCTTTAATAAATAAGTATAATAAAAATCTAATGGTCAATCTGCAGTGTTATAATATCAACAGTAAATATTTTAGAATGCATGTAACAGCAAAACATTTTTATAACTGCTTTGAACCTATTAAATATTTATTCATCCACTATTAGATAAATATTAATAATAAATCAACTGCAACATATAAATTGAAGGTACACAAATAGTTATTGTACATTAATATCAATACAATGTTAAAAACGTAACAAAAAACAGGAACGTTTTGTACACGAATTCAATAAAAAAATAGAACGACTAAAAAATCCGTGAAGCAAGACTGGTGTAATTCAAGCTCGTTCCGATCAACACCGGCAGCGTCGATATTTCATAGCCAAAGAACGAGAAACTGAATTTGACGAGAAATACAGAAGAACACAGATAACAAGAAACGTCTCGCACATTCAATAAATCGCATGACAGCATGATTTTGCTAAGGTTTCAGCCGACAAATTCCAATCGTTTGTCTCGATCAACGAGAACGATTCTTTCGTAAACGATAATAGTCCACTCGGGTGCACGAAACCGATACGAAATTAATAATCGTATCAGAGGATTCGTATTCTTTTTGGAATTTCGCAATTCACGAAAGGTACGATGTCATGTCGCGAATTATTCTTCTATCTCTTTCTCTCTCTCCTCGGTCTCTTTCTCTCGCCACCTCTTTTTATTTCTCGGGTGTATCGTCAAACGTACCGAACTGTCAACCGTCAAAAATTCTAATTGGGAGTCGACCGATCGAGGCTTGCCTTCGACCGATCGAAAAGCATCGTTGATCAAAGGATTTCACGAACGATCGTCATTGAATTAGCTCAGAATCACGCGAAAATACGTGCATGGCGTGCTTACAAAGGACTAACGTCGAGCGGCGACGAAACTGAATCTCGACTTTTTTTCTCTGTACACGCCACCCCTTTCACAGGTGTCGGATTTCGTTCGCTAGCAAGAAGCAGGTAAAAAGATTCCACGCGACCGGTACCTATGTAATTTCAACGATCCTCGGTGTCCAGGGAGCAACTATTTTCGCCCCGTTCACTCAACCGGGCCACCTCCGGACAAAATGGCGACCATCCTAACGATTAGCACTACCGTATTAAAGAAAACCTTTTAAATTTCGCCTCGAGAAGAAACAATCGGCTGGCTAACGACGTACGGCAATACGTAGAAGATTCCTACGACCACTAACTACTGCGTCAGACTTGTATGAAAAACAAAACGCACCTTTACATAGTAAACGGTAGTAGAAATTTGTTGCACTTTTTGACGTGACGTTATAGAACTCACTGGTGAATCTGTAAACACGGACTATCTTACGGCGCTACTGTCGTTCTCGAGTTAAAACGATCATCGTATTTGGCGCTATGTTCGTACCACATACATTATTTTTCGAGAGAACCGTAGCGCCGAACATCGAGTTTTCATTTAAACTGCACAGGTCTACCCTAGTTGGTTCGACACGATTTGCAATCAGAGATAACGCGCATGCTATCTAACGATATTTGTGACAAGAAGCGCATATATACAGTGATTTTTTACTTGATGTTAGGAATGTAGAAAGGCATGAATTTTAGAATATAGGAATTTCGGAATATACGTTTGACATAGCGCATACGCACACATGCTTGTACACATATTGCAGATAAACGCAAGTACACGCTAGTAGAGTAAGATAGTTGAATAATGAAATAGGGAGAGATAATAATGTATATCTTTCTGTTCACCGTGTATATGAGCATGAAATGAGAAGCAGGCGGTAGATTAACGCTATACTTCTGGTATGGAATCTTCTGAACTTAGCCGAAATGCGCAAATTACTATAGATCTCCCGCGAAACGAAATGTGAGTACTCTATTTTCTTTCATCGATCAATTTCGATCATACCTTACTTACAATTCCTTCATTCATCTTTCATCAATCTAAAGTTGTTTCTATATAAAAGCGGGTATCGTAAATATTTAATTCCTACATATATCCTCTTAGCACATTTTATTTTTTATCTCGATACGTATAATTTTTCAACCGTATGTTGCTTTTACAATTGTGATCTTCTGTAATCGTGTATAATTTTTCTGATTAAAATGTACTCTTAACATGTAACATTATAAAATAATATTTCAAACAATTTAAGTCGCATAGTTGTGTAATTTAAATCGATCGATTGATCGATATGAATTTGATTTGAAAATTTTGTGTGAAATCTTATAACGCAGGGAATAGACATCGTAAAACAATGATTGCCGTCATTTTCTAATAATTTATTTCATATAACTGTACATAACATTGATAACTGCAAATGTTCATTTGATATAATTTATTTTATAGCATACCAATTGATCTAGAGATAAGCTATAATTCATACAAATATCATTCATTACATCGGAAGAAATAATAATACACATTTTTGTAATTCTAATATTATTAAATTTTTGTGTACATTTATACCTCGAACTATTATATCTCTTTAATTTATTAAAAGTTATGAAAATTTCTTATCAATATATCAAAAGAAATAAAAATATATTTATTTCAGTTATTCATTCACTCAAATAAAAGTTTATCTCGCCGGTATTACCAAATAAAAAATGAAAATAGACAATATAGCAATAACTTGCTTTATTATGAACACAAATTACTATTAAGAATTATATAGTAAGCTTGAAAACAAGAAAGAATAACTCTGAACTCTGCTACAAAATATCATTTTAAATCAACTAATTCAAAAAACTAAATGTTTTTTATTAATGTTTTCTAGTTCTGTAACACAGTAAGTTTTTGGCAGTTTTTTTTTGTTTTGTTTATTCATTTATTAAGCTGTGCCGGGAACTGTATTTGATCTGACCAGTCTTATAATCTTCAATAGCACAAAAAATATAAAATCTCAATCTTAAACAAGGCACACGAACAAAAATATGATATATAAGTACAAAAGTTTTAAAATATACCAATACAACGCCTATTACTTTGGTAACAAGAGAATTGCAAAATGATATGTTTATTCTTAATCTTTTCTAAACTTTCGTGAAAAAATTGAGATAAAAAAAATTAAGTCAATACGTAATAATTTATATACGTAAAGAGTTAAAAGATAGCACCTGTCTCCAGGAACAAATTTTATGCGCATGAAAATTTACGATCATGCTACATTTTTTTGCATTTGTGTTCACCTTGTGTAATTAAAATTTTTTCTTTCATTATATGTTTAACATTCTTCAGACCGTATGATAGGGAATCTTAGTTATCATTGAGCCTATGATGCATAATCATGATCACTTAATATTACTTAGAAATATTTAAAACAAAAAATTTATTGAGAAAAAAGAAATCTGTTTCTCTAAATATTAAAGAAAAAATGTAGCGATGGACCATTGTATTTTTTTTATCATCGCTTACAAATGGAATTTAATGATTGTATTTTAGATACTAACAACTTCAATGACATGGAAACTTCTAATCCACTTTTAAAATTTAGTTTGTTCCCACTAGCTTTCGTACAGTGAAAATTTTATTTACAGCCAAACGTAACGTCTGTACGTGTGGTAGTAGAAGTGAAGGACCGAGATCATCTTTTGTTTTTTAAGAGAAATATTTTGACTTTGTTTAATTGTATACATTTGAAATTTGAAATGGTCATCATAAAGCAAGTTCTTCAAGTTCCTTTATCAAATCAGCTTCCTTTTTGATCTTGTCTAGTTGATTGATTTCTAATTGCTTTCCTGCTTCTAACTGTTCCTTCAATTTCGAAATCTGTTCTAATTTCTGCAAAAAATAGCATAAAAATAAAAATTATTAAATTCTGTTTCCGTTAAAATGACATTACAGGCATTAGTAGTAAATATTCTTACATTTTTGATTTTTTTAATTTTTTTACTTCTTTCCAGTTCATCGCATTCAGAAACATTCGTAGTTAAATTCTGAGTTTTTGTACTTGCAGTAACTTGACCATTCGTACTTGCATTACTATGGTGTGGTTGAGAAGAAGCAGAAGCTTCTGATTCTTTTTTGACTTTCTTCGTTTTCTTCTTTGCTTTAGACTGAGTAGCTATAAATCAAACATTTTAATAAATACATTAGAGTAACAAATGTAGGTTCATGTTGTATGTAAAATAATGATTTACGTTTCGAAGCATTTTTCAATCCAAGTACTTCGTCATCATGCAATTTGAAAGTTACGGGTTCTCCTCTTGCAGATGGTGGTCGATATGCTTGTTTTGATGCTAATAATGATTGAAATAGGTTACATATCGTATCATAAAAACGATATAGAGGTATAAATATAACATGACTTTTTAATACCTTGTGGTTGACTAGGAGCAATCCCTTCAACAGCTTTATAACTAATTGGTTTTTCGGGGAACGTTTGTGGTGGAAAAGTTTGCCATAATACTTCCCAAAGCTCTTCTTGTTCGTTCCATGGTCGCTCATACAATAATGTTCCAGTGTAATGCCAAATCTTAAATCTGCATTACACGTTTTTTTTTTATTATAAATATAAATAAGATGAAGTGTTCTGTTTACAAAAATATTATTTACCCATTGCCCATTCGCAACCTGGGTGCGGTAGTCGCAGTCATAAAATGTTCTCCATCTGGAGACCACTGAAGAAGCGTTGTATCAGGAGCTTCAGTTTTAGCAATTAATTTTCTGTTGCCAACATCCCATAATTCGATACCGCCTCGAAGGTTTCCAAACCCAGTTAATATTAGAAGTGCGGCGTGGTTAAGGAAAAATAATGAACGAGAGAATAAAATGAGAGAATAAATTAGTATAGTGCAATTTACTAGCTGTGGTCATAATGTAAATTGTATTTTAAAGGATATTATTTCCCTGAGGATTATAATAAATGCTGTTCCGATGCAGTATACCAAATTCAAATATTGCTTCACATTTGAGATTAAATAATGTAGCTTTGGCTGGCATAAAACCATATACTACACAAAATTCAGTATTTTTTGGGGACCACTGTACAGCATGTATAGGACCTTCTTTACCTAATTTTAAAACGAAAAACTTAAGTAAATAATTGAAGATCTACTAATAAACAATAATTTCTAAGTACAACTTACTAAGCATAACCATAGCAGTTTCCCCTTTTGTACTAAGGTAGTGTAAAGTCTGTTTTCCGTAATATGACGCTCCAGTTTTGTCAACCTCTGTACTCGTCATTAGTAAAACATTTGTTCCTTGATTATTCCAATAAATGTTTACTCTATCCGCCTAAAGATAAAAATGATATAATTTTATATATAAGAACACACTCATACTTTATAACAGTACCTGGAAGAAACTCTTATTCGCTATAGCCTGTGTAGAATCAAATTTTGGATACTGGAATAATCTACCAAATGACGGTTGACCCGATTTTCCTATAATATAATATACAAGAAATAACAAATTAGGTAATTGTTGCATTAATAATGTAATGTAACACGCATAATTATGCACATTTAATATATGGTATTTAATGTGGAGAGTACTTATTTATTATGCAAGGATACGACATTTGAAGTTATCACGACTGTGAATATTCCATTTATAGATACTTAAGAAATCACAAATATTTTAAAACAAACAATATTTACCTGTTAGATATATTTTTAATTCCCTATAACTTATTGAAGTACTTACAGTTAAAATTGAGCATGTAATAATCAGGAAAATTCCCCATTACTGTTGATCCTTATTACATATTCATGTTTGTGTATACAAAATACCACTATGTATTAATATTTTGTTGTACTTCTTTAAACTATTAAAGTGTTTTATAGATTTAATTGTCATATAATCTTCATTCCACACCTGTGCATTATATGCTTGCCGCACATATTTGCTTCATAATGAGAGAAACTGAAATAAAAAAGTATTTCATAAAATAAGCCAATTTTTAAGTAAGTTAGGCTTGAACTATCTACTAATAAACATTGTAAAATTTACACATTTTAATTAACCAAACCTGATTACTAATGGATAATATCAATGCTAAATTATATATTTTATGAGTTTTTAATTTTTGTGATTTCTCTTAGTTTTTATTAAATACTTATATTTATTATGTTCGTATCTTTCTTAAATGATATTTGAAAAGAATAATATACTCTCCACATATAAGTACCTGGACATGATATACATGTACATTTGCACAATTTAAAAATAGAACAAAATGCAACAAAATTTAATTACCAGGCATATAACAGAGAATATAATATGGAGAATTACTGGGCGATATACTAAATTTCGCAACTTTGGCTACATTTATTCTGTGCTCAATTTTTTCGAAGTTGACATCCTTATATAGAATGACATCTGCACCAACTAACAGCCCACAGACTTTCTCATCACTTGACCATTGAGGTTCCCTGAATAGATATGGCATAAATATAACTACATACTAAACAAACTGCATTTACTATTCATATTTTATCATATTAAAAGGCATTTTTTAACAAATTGTTAAGTATAATGCACAATATTTGTACATAATATTTTTAAAATACATAACAATTGTAAAAAAAATTGCTCAAGTATCATATTCAAAAAACATTAAAAAAAATTCAATTGAAAGTACATTATAATAATGCAATTTCTAAATTTGTATATAATTTGTAATTAAATGCTGGAATACATTAAGTAGTACATTACCAATCCGATTGCTTTTTCTGTACAAAACTCTTCACTAGCTCTCCAGTTTCTGATTTCCATATGTGAAGATTTGGTACACCTTGAGGATTCGACACTGTTGCTATAATAAAAAAAAGTTACATTGTTAATACCATATACAACATAATTACAATACAAAAATATTTAATACATAATAAAAATAATATAAGATGTTATATCTAAAAAATCCAATCATTTTAAATATTATTTGATACATAATAGAAGTATAAATAACAAAAGCAAACAATAAGCAAATATAATGAAAATATGTCATAAAAGTAAAAGTAATATAATACCAATGAATGGTTCCCACGTCATAAAATATGTGCCTTGAATTGAGAACTGAATTGCCGAGATTTTAGGTCTCTTGATCTCTGCAACTATTTTCCATGTACTACAGTGCAAAATCTTGACAACCATTCCATTAACCCATGCAAAATAACGTCCCTCTGGACTAAAAACCATGGCCTTGCAAGTTTTACTATCATCTTTAGGAAATGTTTTAACTGGTTCATACGATGGTGGACCTTGTCCTAAACTGATCCCGATTGAACCTCTCACTAAAAAAAAAGAAAATCAGCTTTTTCATTTTCTTAGTTTCATCATATTTCATTATACATATGAATTACAAATTTTTATTTGGTTAAAACCGTTTTATACATTTCATATTGTAACATATAAATTTGAGAATTTGTATAACCACAAATAGTGTAAATAGTATGAAATATGTAATATGTAAATTTACATCAAAATAATAAGATACTTCAATCTCTAGAAAAATAACCAAAAGTCATGTGGAATTTTATACAAAATTGATCAGAAAAATTACAAGATACATTTGTGTTCGCAAATAAATTTCAAAAACACATTGCCACGTGAAACATTTTCTGTATATTAAATGTGTTCCAGTAATAAAATGCTACTAAACAGAATGCCATTAAAGTAGCAACCATTTTATGAACAAAGATACATTTTATGAATATTAATAGTACTTGCGAATAAATATCAGTAAAAGTTTGATTCTCAATTAAGTAATACATTAATAAAAACAATCCAAAAATGCTTACCAGCAACACAAGGAACAGTCAACGCCATTTTACCTCCGTTACCATGTGGTACCGTAATATCGAATATCGACCACTCTTGCCAGATTGAGGAATTTGTCCCTTGAAAAGGATATCTTGCACATGCGTCGCCAACATCGTATGCAAGAAACACGTGCGCTCAGTGCCGTACATATAGAAATATGAATATAAAATTTTTTTCATCCAATTTTTGTAACGAATATAACACATCAACTATAAATATTTTAACATTCATATATACTTAGACTTCAGTATACGTATATGTAATAATTAGATATACAGTTAAATAAGCATATACGATTGATAAAAGTAATCGTCTGCATAGCTCTTATGTTACATCGGCATGTATTGTGTTGTCAATTGTCACACGTTATATTTTCCGTGTGTTATATTGACACGCGTTATAACGCCGCGCATCATGCCATCACATATATCGCAACGATTCTTCTCTCGTTATAAAGTTATTCAGCTGAAAATATATTTTCATTAAAATTTAAGAGTTGCCGGTAACTTCATAGTATCGTTTTAAGATTAATTCGTGTAGAATAACACGGTGCTTTCTGTCAAATGACTACATATATTTCTGCAAACTCCTAACCAATGACAAAGAGTAGATACAACAAGAGACGATACTCCGAGCGGCACCTTTGATGTTTGGCAAAGTCTGTCCCTTTAAATTGAATGTATAAACACGAGCGGGAAATTGAAATTAAAAGAATTTAATTTCAGCAATGTTTATTACAAATAACTTATAAAGAAATGGCGAATTCATTGCTACAAGAAAATATATATGAATGTGCAGATATAAATCATTCTTTGCCAAGCGTTGCACTTACACATTATGCATATTCACTTCTTGGAACATTGAAATTGTATCCCCACCTCGTTTCAATTGGCATAGGCATTTAAATTGGTGGTATAATTCCGTCTCTCTCTAAAAGTAGTTTCTTTATCAGAGTGTCGCTTCTTGTTATATCTAATCTTTGCCGGTAATTCTTATATCGATTAACTTTTCGATTAAATGTTCGAAAAATCAATTTCTTACGCTTCCCTAAACAGGCATACGTTTTAGCGTGATTTTCATTTAATATCTTAATAGTAAGCAATAAATATCTAAGTTATATAATTTAATGCAACTTAGTATACAAAACTTTTAAAAAGTGTTGATGCAGTGTTACAATTCTTATATATATATATATAACAAATCAGTTTAAAATCTAACTGAATAAAAATTTTAACAATTATGCACATTGCTATATATATACTGACATTCTATTTTATTTTTGAAATCCATTAAAAAAAATAAATATACATTGGTACTTATAAAATTTTCTAGTTGTCGTTATATTTTAGTTAATGTATTTTAATTATGTTAATGCATAATAAACTTAAAATAGAAAAATGTTTGTTGAACACCCTGTATACGGCAGAAATTATATGTCAGCATCGTCTTGCGTGGGGTATGGCAAGTTCATGTTTTAGGTGAGCATTAAAATTTTTAATTATTTTATGATAGCATTAAAATTCTTTGTTCGTTTTACGAATATACACTGAAAATATGAACAATATTATTAATTCAACATAAATTACAAAGACAACTATCACAGTGATCATTTCTTTTCGAAAGAGGTTATATTTCTTAAAATTTTTATGGAAAAATGTAAATTAAAGAAGATTTCACTAAAATATCATTTTCATTTACAATTTTTTTAAATTTATGTAGTATTCACTTTTCAAAATTTGATTGTCATTAGCTTGAATCTTTTCTTACAACTTTCTATTTTTCTTATTATTTAACAGTATCTATGTATGTTATTAATATTTACCTATATTTTACAATTTTACGTGTGAAGTACATTTTATAAATATATTAATAATGATATACCTTCTTAATATGTTTGTTAGCAACGTGGATGAATATGGTTTTGAAAGACCTCACGACTTTGATTATGAAACCTATGAGGACTTTATGTCAGAATACCTCAAAGTGCTTGCTAAAAGAGCTAAAAAATGGGCTGAAATTATTGGGGAAGGAAAGTCATTACAACGAAATATTACAATAAAAAGATATGTTCGTAAAGGTATACCAGGAGAACATAGAGGATTAGTAAGTGAGAACTCAAATTTCAGTTTATCAACAAATTTTATTTACCCTTTTATATTTAATATATAAAACAGAAGTTTTACTTTTACAGGTATGGCTGTCTGTCAGTGGAGGAGAAGATGTAAAAAATGAATTTCCTGATCTTTATCAGAAATTGTTACAAGCCCCTCATAAGGAAGAAGTTGCAAATATTATAAAAACTGATCTCCCACGAACTTTTCCTGACAATATATTTTTTAACAATACAGAAAATCAGCAATATCAATTGTACAATATTTTATTAGCTTTTGCTCATCAAAATAAAACAGTAGGGTATTGTCAAGTAAGTGTATTGTGACACAATATAATAACAGCATATTCCTAATTATTACATCACTAAATTATTGAAAATTTTTTTTAGGGTTTGAATTATATAGCAGGTTTATTATTACTTGTTACAAAAAGTGAAGAAACAGCTTTTTGGTTATTAAAGGTTCTAATAGAAAAAATATTACCTGATTATTATACACCAACAATGGACGGCCTGCTTACAGACATCGATGTTCTTGCAGAATTAGTCAGGTAAATTTTTTAAACATCACATTTATTTTTTGCTGATGTGTGCTAATATTATTATTATTATTGTAGGATAAAAATGCCGGACATTTATCAACACGTTACAAACATAGGTTTGCCATGGCCAGTCATTACAACAAAATGGTTTGTGTGCTTGTTTGCAGAAGTATTACCAATCGAGGTAAAGTTAATAGTATTTGTTTTTAAAGGAAAAGCTTATGAATATTAGCATTGTTTTGTTAACAGTATTATATGTGGTGTGTACACAGTTGATTCATTCATTAGTTTAAAATTTTGAATTAATACATGTTTGGATTGCCATAAACTATAAAAGTATTGAATAAAATGTTTACAACTTGGCAGACCACGCTGCGTATATGGGATTGTCTTTTTTATGAAGGCAGTAAAATCATATTTCGTGTTGCATTGACTTTGATAAAAAGGAACAAATGCAACCTACTTGCATGTCAAGATTTTACAACATTAGCAGAATGCTTTAAAGAAATAACGAAAGACAGTATTGTTTTAAAATGTCATGAATTCATGCAGGTACGTATTTTCGCCCGATTTTCTTTAATAAATTGGAAACAATAACTTTATGAACTAATCTTCCATTTTTTTTTCTAGAGTATATTTAAAGTACCTGGATCTCTACCCGGCAGCACAATTATAAAATTAAGGACAAAAATATCGAAACAACGCATGGAACAAAACGAAAGCAAATTAGGACGATAGTAACGACAAAAGTTTTGGTCAACTAAATGATTCTAGTCAATATGTATTATTTGACTTCGAGTTCTTACAAAACAAATACGTTCTGTAGGATTGTATTGTAATGTTACCTCTACAGTGTTCTTGTAAATATAAATCTAGTATTAGAAGAACAAATGTCAATAATATTTTATTGTATATTGATTTATAAAATTTTATACGTTTATTTATGCATAGGAACAAATACGAAATATCATTTTTATTGTATATTTTATAAAATTATGGTATATTGATTATATTAATATCTTATTAAATATTTTATTACAACAATTTTTTATTTCTGCATGTTAAAATTAGGACAACAATTAATGTATTTTCTTATAAATAACTTTATTATAAGTTAAATAAAATATAAGATCGCTATGTTGTTAATATGTACATAACAGTTTCTTCACTGCAATTAAATTTTCAGGTGTAGATCTAAGCGTAATTACATGTGCTATGTATCTCTGTATAACTACAAAATTATTTATGTCATTTTTCCAAAAAGTCTTTTGCTTCATTAATTTTTGCTGCAATATATGGAGATCCACCACGATCTGGATGGTTTACAGCCATAATTTTTTTAAATTGTTGTTTTACTTTTGCTTTATTCGCGGTTGGTGATACATCCAATATTAAACTAGCTTCTCTTTTAGTCATTTTCGGTTCAAAACCGCCTTTGTAATATTTACTAGTTGCCAATGTCTAAAAATATATGGCCATGAAATCAATTCAGATATCTATATAACTTTTATATGCAATGATCTTACCTGTGAATCTAATTTTGGCATGTTTTTTAAAGCTTCTGCCATTCTTTGAGAAAACTGTGGCATTTTTTTAAGCACATAACGACCAGTAAAACCGACAGCAGCAAGGCTTAAGCCTGCCACGACAAGGAAACTACTCTATAAAAGTCAAAATCAAATGCAAAATATTTAGGATTCGTTTATGTTTATATATCAAAATAGCTATCAGTAAAATTTATTATTTGTAATATTTTGTATTCAACTCAAATTCACACAGTTAAACTAATTACACATACATTTATAACCTTAAATGAATTACATCTCCAAAACATAATTAATGTTAATGTATTTTGCCTTCCTTCTTTTTTATAAACAATAACATTTACGAGTTTTAGTACAAATTTCCGTTAGTGATGCAACTGTGATGAAATACATATTCGCATAAACACATTTTTAATGTATTATTTACAAAATATTTGTTAATTTTAGTTATAGAATGTGTTTAATTTGTAAACTAATAAACTGTTACGTTAAATTGTAAACTTTGATGTTATCTTGAATAAAAATTTCAACAATTATCCTTACCATTTTATTGCACCTGTCAAAACAACGAGAAACCTTATTGCAAATAATTTAATATTAGATCAAATACAAATAGTTCTTTGAGTCATTAAAAAAGTATCAAAAAGACTGATGTATTGCGAAACTATGAAACCAGTGCCACCTAGCCGTGAGTGGCTAAACTTTGATAATAAGTGACGACTATTATAACAGTATTCATCTTCATCGATGACTCTCATGATCTCCATAGAGTATAGGAATTATTACGTCAAGAAAAAAAGGAAACAGCGGGCTAATGACCATAGTAGTCGACGCCCACAACAATAAGCTATCAATCAAACAATCAAAAAGGAAATAATCTTTTAAAAAAACCGCCACAAATTCTGTTAACAGCGCCACCTACCAACAAACTGCTGAACTATGAGGACCACGGGTAAAGTACCGACCGGATTCTGTCGGTAATTAATTGATTACACTCAACTGTAATATACCATCAGCGAGGTTTCTATTGTAGTTTCGCACATCGCTGCTAGATGGCGCTGCGTCGACCCTACATAAGGGGGTGTTCAGATTAGGCAAGTACATGTGAAAATAGCCTAATCTGAACGACATTTAGTATGTACATATTATTAAGATAATTCCGTCCTAGAATTAAGTGTTAACAATGTATTTATGTATTAATAAAATAGATTAAGTCACTTAATGTACAAAAGTGATTGAAAATAAATATGAATAAAAACATGTACTTGCGTATTCATTTACTTATAAATCCCGTCATTCCGATCCCTACAATTTCCTCTAATTATAAGAAATAAAAAATAAAAAATAGGAAACAAAATATTAAGAATTTGTACCAGGAGAACATGCATTATAAGAAGGTATTCTTTGTTCTTCATGGAATTTTCGAAACGTCATTTCAATAATCTTCGATGCGCGATTTTTGAAATTCCATCGATCGATTTTGAAAATTTGTATCAGGAGAACATAAAGTATGAGGAGGTATCTTTCGTGCCACTTCCTGGAATTTTGATGACGTCAAATTCCAAGAATTCCCAGGAGTGATTTTTGAAAATTTGTATCAGGAGAACATAAGTTGTGAGGAGGTATTCTTCGTGCCACTTCCTAGAATTTTGATGACGTCAATTCCAAGAATTCCCCGGCGCGATTTTTGAA